AATTACACTACCTGAGCGGGGTCCAGGAGAGGGAGTCCTACCAGTATCCAGCATCTCACAGACACCTGCCATGATCAAGTCCACCTAGGCCACTATTGTGTCGGCATCCTCTGGTTGGGTTTCTGAGAGCTGAACCTCCAATGGAGTTGAACCGCAGCTGGGGGCTTCTGAGGGACCCTCCTGTTGGTCTCCGGGAGGTGACACTCATCGTCCAATAATAGGCAGAGGTGATGAACCCATGGCTGGTGAAGGGGCATGCAAGCTGTCGCCCAAACCAGTTGCTTCCGAGTTGTGTCCATCACTTAGGCCCATAGGGGTGTCTCTAGCCATCACCCCTGAGGTGGGCATGTCATCCTCAGTCATTAGTGAGGATAGAGAGGGGGGTGTGGCTTCGATTGTTGACAGGAGCACCACAGGCGGAGGGATGGTCAGGCGCCCATGGTGAACGCCTAGTGGTAGGCCAGGAAGAGCAGGAACAATCTGTTTTTTCCATCCCTCATCGACGTTGACATCCCTTAAAAATTGAGGACCAAGGAGAGGAGCAGCAGATTGCTTAGTAGGAGACGCCGATCGTGTCCGGCGGCATGTTCCAGAGGCAGGAGGGCTATAATCCTCGTCATCAGGGTCATCCAATTTGAACTTTGGGGTTTCATAAAGAGCCCTTTCGCCTGAAGACATTCCTGCCAGGAAGGAGGGAGTCGAGAAGCCGGTCCCGGCATTATGGGCCTGGCGGAAGAAGCTGAGCATCTTGCCTTGGACAGCTCTAGCGAGGGGAGGAGTAGTGGACCAAGAGCTGGCCTCAATCGTGGTGGTAGTCAAGTTGTTCTTGGCGGGGGGGATGGAGGATTCAGGGACTATAGCCTGAGAATCTTTAGGGGGGAAAGGTACAGGGGCTGGAGAATATTCCAAGCCACGGTCTGAGTTGAACCAAACGAAGAGCCCTGTAGTAGTGTCTTTGTCCAAGCTACACGTGGCTGAACAGCCACTCCCGATCAGGAAACCTCTCACCAAAACCTCCACTTCTTTCATCATGGCAACAGTTGTGTCAGCGACCGTTTGCCGAACCAAATCATCAAACTGCGGGTTCACCGCATTCCGACACCCGTGACAGTGGTGAAACTGTAGGAAACTAAAGTTCCCTTTGGGTGCAACATATGACTGTGTAGTTATGGGGATGAGGCCACAGTCAGCCTCAGTAGCAGGCACAAGAGACAAGGCCACACAGGCTGTCTCAAAGCGAGGAGGAAGGGTTGGAGCCGAACCGAATAGGGGACGACATCCTCAAAGGGGTGGGAGAATCTGTGGAGCAGGAGGCGGTTGAAGACGCCATCCTCGCCCAAAGTATACTCAGCGATTACCGGGACCAGGCCACGGATATCTCACACTGAAGTATCTTCTAAGCGAGAACAACTACTTCTAACCGACCGCCCGAAATGAAAAACACAAAGTAACAGCAGATGAAGTATTTATCGCGAGCAAAATAAGGTAAAGTATTGGTTATGCTCACTTCCGACACGGAGTGCAAGAAGTAGGAAAAGTACTTAGAATTCAATCTAATTTTATTTAAACTCGTACCGCCAACACTGGCATACGACGAGCCCCCGCCGGTACAGGGATACTGCTAACCGGTATACCACTAATCCTAAGCTAACTAAGTCTACAGTCCCGCACCTGCCATCCCCGAGTCATGCCCGCACGAGAACAAATTACAAGACCATCAAACAACCTAGCGCCCGCCCCGGTCCAAGTCCACAGCTCCTCTGGTATGAAGCCAACCAGCACTAAGCGTAGCCGAAGCTGAGCAAAAGACCAACCCAACCAGGTTCCTCATCCAACAAAATATAAAACCACTACCACCCGGTCTGAACACCGTCCCGCAAGACCTCCTCCACAGTAGAAAACCAACAAAACCACAAATATAAACTACAGGCGACACAATGGCAGAGAGGAGGTGACCAACATGTCCACCTCTCGCATCCGCATGCCAGGCCGTCGACCATATGAATCCACTTTGCCAAGTGCCTCTGAAGAGCGTAATGGTGAGGAGGACCTGTCCCCCAAAAAACAAAACAAAACCCATAAACAAAGGAAATACATAGAAGTGGTGACAGACCGAAATAGTCAGTGGGGCCTATTTTCCACGCATAGTGCCTTGCCCCCGCCAGCCATGCCCATTGCCAAACTAAAGAAACCAAACAAAACCTCAACAACACCCAGTACACAGAACCCAAACAAGTCCAACGAGGTGGTCGCTATCCACTATCCGCACAGGTGGCCATCAGCCAACCGGTCCATCAGGGAGCCTTACAGCACTCAGCAGCTTCGCCCAACAGCCCAAGCCGGACTGGAAACACTTAATTAGACCTCGCCCAACCTGACGCAGGCCCGACCGGTGCTCGCAGGCACCTCTTCCCCCACAATCAGCCCCCCCCTAGCCCCACGCACCAGACGCCACAGAGCCCATCCAGCCCCTCCAGCCCCTCAGACAGATCAACCATCCGACAACCACAGGTCAGCTTATACCCAGCCCCACCAGGCAGCCATTGGTCTTGGCCACATGAACAGTGCCCCAACCCCCAGCACCGTATAGCCGAGGGGGGCCCACCAGCCACAGCTGGGAGCCACAAAGGAGGCAGCACCAATACCTAAAGGTACCGGCACCAGCCACACCATCCAACCCAGCCGAACTGAAATTCAACCGAGTCGGGAAAGAGTAAGCAGAGCCAGCCAAAGCCAGCCCCACAGGTCCGGCAATAGGCACGGACCGAACGACGGGCAAGAGGCACCCCCAACTGACGCGACAAGAAGGGGGAGGGCGAACGAACAGAAGCAGACAAACAGAAGGTAGGCCCCACTTGCAATGGGTGAAGCCGCCAACCACAGACTACAACCGAACCACCCAGACGCACAGACAACGCGAGTGCCTGGCAGCCAATCGTCCCACACCACCCCAGGTAGCCAATAACCACACCAGGGGGTAAGATTTTTCAGGGTCAAAGCCATCCCCACAGATGCGAGGAGGAGACGCCTGACTGAACCACCGTAAATACCGCAAGGACAAAAACTCCAAGAGAATGGCGATAAACAACATCGTAGGATTCCGACCGTAGAAACAAAAACGTAACGAAGAGGGGCTGGGCGGGTACCACCCTGCTACCTGAGGAATGATGCAGCCAGTATGACGAGTTGATACTTGGGAAGGTCATCAGTCTAACCCAAGGGCGTTTTGTATCGCGAGAACTAAGGACTCCGTTAAAACCCAACAAAAGACAGGAGCTGGTCCAAAGAACGACACAGGTGATCCCTCCAAACACAATGTTCAATCCCCCCAATCGAACGCGAAACCTGCGAGTAGACGATAGACAGGAAGCCGTAAGCATTTTACCGAAAGTAGCTCGTATGCGACCGTGATGAAGTGCTCGAAGTGCTAGTATCGTGAGATAACCAACCCAACGAAACGAGATGCAAACAAGTTATCCGCCACGCAACACCTAACAGACCTCAACACCAAAGACCCTAGGAACTACTGAGCGAACTCAGATATCTCCCCCAGAATCTAAGGCATCAAGGCCCATCATGATGGCGAAAGAAACACTCGAGGCGAAGCGACGGCAAGGACGAGGAAAAGTACTTAGAACAAAGCGTGAAGAGCCTATCTTCCTCAGCCGCCTCGGCCTCCTTATATAGTGTTCTTCCCGCCCATAGTCATGTGACCTAAGTGGTCACATGTGCGAAACCAAATCATAACAAACTAGTCATGTGACCAAAGTGATCACATGCTCAAAACCCATGACCTCATAGCGAGGTCATGTGCAAAAACTCATAAACCAATCATAACGCAATAAACAAGTCATATGACTCGACTGAGTCATATGCGCGAAACCCATGACCTCATAATGAGGTCATGTGTGAAACATAAATCATATGCGTGAGGCTTACCCACAAGGCACACTCGCAAGGCATACTCGCCAGGCACACATCCCATGACTCATACTTGAGCCATGTGCGAAAGCATCACAAATCCCCCACATAACAAATCATATAACCCGAATGGGTCATATGCGTAAAACAATAACATACCTGTGACTCATAACCATGTATCACATGAAAACCTTTTCCATGCCAAGCCACATTCGTGACAGACAATCTGATAATCAGATATCCTGTAATTACATGTACCACTGTAGGATTTTCTATTAAAACTAGATTTTGCTTGTGAAATGCCAATATGCCAAGCTAAAATGCGAAAATTTCCATCACCTATGCAATTTCTGACTATCTATATCTTCTCTCAGACTTTCAACATTCACAATACACTCCAGCATAGATCAAGGGAATACTAGTTTTTCTGTACTACATGGTTGACAGTCTTCCCTTCTAGTATTATATTCAAGCAAGCATTTTTGACAAGGTTGCTTAGTAAGCACTTCACAAACCCTTCTGACTAGGGACTGTACTTTCCATTGTTCCTTATTATTCCTCAATATTTCTATGTAGTTTTTTTCTTTTTTTTTTCTTTCCTAAACATTAATAGTCAAATGCTTATTCCTATAATTACAATAATTAAATATTTAATTGTAACTTGGTTGTCCAGAACCTTATCTCCTATCTCTATTTTTCTCTATGTAATATATACCATAAAAACTTGAATAATTGAGCCAAGTTAAACTAAGGTGAGGAAAAACAGAAATTGTGTAAAGTCGCAATTCATACCAAATTAGTAGCTTTTGAGGATTATCAAACCTAGTCCAAAGAAAGAAAATGTTAGACCATATATGTGTGATAATCTGTAGGAGCTTCTGGTTTTGGCATGATTTCCGGATTTACGCAATTTCTGTTTTTCCTCACCTTATTTTAACCTCCTTTTTGGTGATCCAATTATTCGAGTTTTCGTACTTATCCATAGCCATACCCGAGTTGCGGGTTCAAGTACGGCATCAAGTTACCCGGCCCCCAATATCCTCACATCCCCAACCAGGCAGGAGGCAACCGAAACTCTACACCTCGAAGCTATATCCAAGATTCAATACTATCATACACCCAACTCTGAAAAGAAAAAAAGAAAAAAGAAAAACCTCCCTTACCACCTTGTTATAACTCAGAAACGAGAAAAAGAAGGGAAACAATTCAATCCTATCCTATTTCTTACCATCGTCATGTCATCAATCGCTTCTCTCGACGCCCAGTCCGCAGCTCGCAAAGAACGCCTCGCACAGCTCAAGTCTCTAAAGCGCAAACAGACCCTGACAGACCCTTTGCCACCACAAGAAGTCACAATGACAATGGATGATCCGGAAGATCCGGAAAAGACTACGAATGCTCACCTCTCGGGCCGGAATTATGACATCGAGTCACGAGCACCCAAAATGGGGTTTGTGTCGGCACCCAACGTAGGACAGGAGACCTTGGAGGATGCAGCAAAGAAGATTGTCGAGACTACGAAGGCTTTGCAAATGGAGGACGAAAGGAACGACAAGCCAATCGATTTGTTCAATCTTCAACCAAAGAAACCGAATTGGGATTTGAAGAGGGATGTGGATAAAAAGCTCGAGAAGTTGAACCAGAAGACAGATATTGCTATTGCGAAGATTATTCGAGCTCGGATAGAGGAAGCACGACAGAAGAGAATTGGCAAGAGTAAGGGGGGGGATGAGACGGAGGATGTTGAAGGAAATGTGGCTTCGATGGTACAGGAGAGGGAGAAGGAGAGAGAAAGGGAGAGAGACGCCGATGCTAAGGATGCCAACGACGATGAGGCGGATTCTCCATGATGCGACGGAGTGGATTGCGTAGAGGAAAGGGTTTATTTTTACTGGTTCATGACATATGTATAGTATAATAACTAATGCAGACCCCTTATTTGAAATGATACCACAGATTAAGAATGTACAATACAGCTCAGCGGGATACTGGCGGCAAAAAGGGTCACCAAGCCACTGTAGAGTTGCTGCCGGTTCCCTCGTTTCCCCCCCCCCTCACGAATCCTCCCCGTTTCCCTTACTGTAACAAGGAGAAGAAAGAAGAAAAAGTGTTGTAATGCCAGTAATGATGCTAAGTGTGTTTATAAGGCGGGACTTCCCGCTGTCAAACTACCTGCTCGCTCAAAAATAGAATAAGCAACTATCCAGGGACCCTCTGCATCTGCTCAGTAAGAAGTTTCCGTCTGGTGAAGGGACTGAGGCTTCGCTCTCTATAAGGACTGGTCCTGGTAGGGCGATTTTCATCCACCTGGCGACACTTCACTGGTGATTCTTTCCGACCATTGTAAACCTGGGGTGTAATTGAGCGCCGGTATGTTGGTCTCGGAGTCCGGCTCCTTGTTCTCCGCGGATAATCGGTAGGACTCAGCCTGCGACCCCTTCTCCTGGGGCTAGGAGAATCACGATACTTTCTGCGAACAGATCGATCATGGTCATCGCGAGCATGACTATTGCTTTGTCTCCTAGAATTGTGGCGAACCACGGAATTCTCTTGTGAGTACACCGGAGGTGTTGGCGAGCGTCCGGATGATATGCTGGAATATGTTGAAGAGGAGCCAGTGGAGATGGAGCGGGCGCGCGATTGAACTGGCGAAGGCGAAGTGCTTTATTTATTGGGTTAGGAGTTGAGAATCCACAATCCGCGAAGTCAGGGGTGTGGCATACCTATTACGCCTCCTCTTGCGCCCACGAACCTCTGGAGAATGTGCACTGTCCCTCTCATTCTTATTCTTCATTAGAATCTCGTCAGCGGTGCCCTTCTTTCTATTAACCGTAACGTCGGATGGCGGTGCAGCTTCCGTGAGCTCCTGACGGAGGCGAGGGTTTAGAAACTGCTGGGTGCGTGAGGGTCGCGAGGTGTATGGCCTTTCAGATATAGTCGCTTTGCACTCATAGCTATAGTGACCTGAGGAAGGCATGCGAGTCAGCAGCAGGTCAAATAGTGGAAGAGGGGAAAGAAGGATGTGTGAACCTAGTTTAAGGCATTTCTGACAGCGTGTAGTAGGGGTCGCTTTAGAAGAGGCAGCTGATGATGAGAATGGACCTCTGTAACGGTTCATTGATGAAAGAGGTGGTTGTGGTGAGAGGTGTCAGTGGTGTTGATGAAGGAAGGGGGAAGAAAGAACGAGACTCTAGACTACGGACAAAGTGAGTTTAGACGTTTGGTTGGTGACTTTGAAGGGCAAATCATAGAGGACCAATGCCGGGGAGAAGAAAGCTTGAAGATATGATAGAAAGGTTGGGTTTGCGGATGTGGGTGTGTGATGAGAGTGAGGGCAAGTGGAGGATAGGTATGGACAGTTGTATGATATTATGATAATAATAATATTATTATTATTATGAGACTGTTGCTGTACTGTACGAGTATGTACTCGTATGATACAATACCCAGCACGAAGACGTGTGGGCAAAGTCAACTACCGTACCGGGACTGAATGTAGGGTATGGGGTATTGGGGAGAATGGGGCTCACACTTGTGCGTACGCAATGTATCATATGATACCACACACCAGGACGGTACAGTGCACTCGAGTACTCGAGTATTGGATTGGAGTACCGGTAGGTAGACCATGATAGCAGCATAGTATCGCAGAGCAGGTGGAGACCCGGTGCGACAAGCCAGAACTCCACGATATCCGAGTGCAAGACTGTGGATTCAACCCTAGATACTGTAATAACCAATACGGTGAGAACCGTTTACGCTCGTCCAGACCAACAATTAAATATCAAAAATTCACACATTTTTTCATCAGCGACATAATTTTGGATCTCTCATCAGATCGGCGTTTCCCTGAATGTCACCATTTATTTCTTGCTAGTAGCGTACCGTGCCAAGGTATTTGCTCGAAAAGAAGAAAAGAGAGAGAGAGACAGAGAGGAAAAGGGGAAGAGGAAGGGCCATCAGGTGCTGACATAATATAAACACCAAAACTACAATTTTCCCTTAAGGAAAACCTCTGCCAAGGAATTTCCTTCCTATTCGTCAATTCTGACCAGGCCAGGCAGCACCCTTTGGATCGGTTTGTGATTCTTCCCTCACTTAGCTTCGCCGTTCACTCCCCCCCATACCCTCCCTTCTTTCTCTCCATTTCCCTTCCCTTCCCTTCCCCCTCTACCCTCCTCACTCAATAACGGTACTCTCCTCCTACCCCCTCCTCCACCGCCCAAAATCTCCCTCTACCCTTTGCCCTGCCCCGCCGTTAACCCAGGAAAAAAGTAAAAAGGAGACAGAGGGAGAAGTGCCCTCACCCACCACCGTCTTGCAACCGCAATATTTAAAGGCCCTCCTTTCCCCACAACAACTCCGCCGACTGCTACGACTTCGCATACGCAAATGTCAGCTTGTCCGTTGGAGCATGTCTCGGGAGCCTCGCAGTCTCCAATCACTTCCTTTTGAGCGTCCTTGATCTCGTTGTCTTTCTTCCTTTCTTTTACTTTTGCTTCTTGTGGAGATGTCTTGTCCTCCCTCTTCCGCTTCCGCCCTAGCTCCCGTTCAACCGCAAAATTATTCTATGGTCGACTCCAAGGTACATATGCGCTTCCATTCCTTTCTTCTCTCTACTTCTGTTCTCACCAACTATGTCTCCACAGCTCCAGGATGCGCAAGGATCCACTACGGATTCTTCCATACCTGCTACCCAAGCTTGCGCCGATATCCCAACGCCATCAAATATCGTCGGTGGAATTACTCCTTCCTCTTCCTCTTCTTCTACCCAACTTTCGGATCTTGAGGATTCCACTCAAGCTTTGGCTCAGGCTGCCAAATCATCTCTTCCGAGCACGGATGGTGTTACTCGGCTCCAGGAATCCCTTAGCGGTCTCAAGCTCGAGAAGGACATCCTCCTCTCCAATGGAGGCAGTTCGTCTCGATTAGCTGTGGATACCCCACCCATCGCATTAGTACCCTCCAACGGCGATGCTCCTAATACTTCGGTGAGTTCAATAACTGGGCAACACCTCTTCCCTGCTCCCCCATACTCCGAAACCAAAATTACGAATGGTCCAATTGCTAAGTCTAGTTTAAGCTCCGGGGGTCCACTTCTCATGCAGAAGATACCTCTTCTCAGCCTAGCCATCTGGTACCCAGTGACGGATACAATTTGCTCAAGCGGCCAGTCGGCTCGGATGGAGCTGAAACCTCACCCGTGATAGTGGTATCCTCACAAAAATCAGCTTCGATTCCACCTCCACCATCGACACACGCGAGTGTGGAAATGTTGATAGACGAACCTGATCAGCGCCTATTGGACGCCCTTGAAAATCAGAGAGATCGTTTGTTCGTTATCAAACTGGAGCAGGATGTTATCGATTTTATCGAGAAAAACAGGTGCTTAAAACCTGTCTCTTTTCCTTCTTTTCCTTCAATCACATTCTAAAAATTTCTAGCTCCGATGTTTTCGACATGCCACCTATCAATGCTTATCACCGGCTACTCGCCCATAAAATGGCCGAATACTACAGACTTACTCATGTCGCAGATACTAGTGGCACATCTGTTCGCCTCTACAGGGGGCAGTTTGCCAGGATGTGAGCACAAACCATCTTTCCACTGGTAAGGAGGGTACTAACCTGTGCGCGCAGGCCGCCGGTACGGCTTTCGGACAGGCGTCCTCCGAATGCAATGCCCGGCCCTTCAGCGGCGAATGGGACAAAGTCCAATTTCAAGATAATGCAAAGATCTACGTCGCACCGAGGATCAGATACCCCACCTGAGCAGCAAAACGGCAGTTTCCCCAAGAAGACTGCCTCAGAAAGTTCTTCCGGCGATGGGTCAGCAAGAGCAACCACTCGCGAGGAGAGGGAGCAGGCTTACCAGGAAGCTCGAGCTCGCATATTTAAAGATTTTGTTGAGTCTCCACCTGAAACACCAGCACCCTCTAAATCGAACGAGAAGACGAGGAAGCAAGAAAAGCAGGACGAATTCCATGGGCGATCCCAGTTTTATCCTGTGCCAACTCCAGCACCTCCGGTTAACCCATATTGCTTTCCCCAATACGAGGACCCCAGACTCCAAAGCCAAAACAATACTCACATTTCCGGGGGCTCACGATTCAATCCAAGCACTCCAAGCTTTAATCCCTCCCCCTTTGTGCCTCCTCTAGTTAGCTTCACGCCTCCACAGCAACCTCAGCCGCAATCATTCATGCCAACTCTCTCAAATCGTCATTTCCCGCCACAGGGGGATAGATCTTTCCCTACCCCTAACCAGGGCCATGTCGGGCCAAATATGTTCCCCCAACAGCAACAACGCAATGGATATTATCCAGAACAAGGTGCGAACTTTCACAGCGGGAATCCCCAACAGAGCTCTTTAATGATGTCCACCAATTTCCCCAATCAGCGTTTTGGCGCTCAACCCCCTCTTCATGGTCAGCATTCAGGTCCTCCCATGGCTGCTTCTGTACCCACCACTGCCAACAGGCATCCATATGCCAGCCCATCCAATTATGCGGTTGGTAACCAAGCATTGGGTAATCAGAGGTTCCATGTACCACAGCAGCAGCAACCCCTTATATCTGGGAACGGATGGAGCGCTCCTCAAACTCTCAACGGGGGAATCCCCATGACCACGAGGTCGCAATCCGCTCTTCCTGCGCTCGATAGACCAACTCCGCCTTTTGGAGGGATGCCATACCAAAACCACCAACAATCACAACATTGGGGAGGCAATTCTGTCGTGGGTTCATCTGCGCCCATAAACTTTCGACAGGGGCCGTTCGGAGGGGCAGGCGGTCCCGGAATGCACGGACCGGTTGGTGGGGTGTAGTTTTACGAAGCGGGAGTTGTTTCATAGATTCGAGTATCTCTTTCCTACAGATAGCAAATGTTTTGGCCTACCCCTGGAAAAAAACAAAATGGCGGGGTTGGAGTTTGTCTTATTTCATACATAGACGCGCCGCTTCAAAGCGATAAAATGAATTGCATGATTAATTCCTGTCTCATTAGTCTTGCGATGGCTTCATGTTTGTACTTTAGTTAAAAATTTCCCGCTCTTCTTAGTTCTCATATGATTAGCTTTGTAGTGTATTTCCTTCTGAATTAAAACCCTATTGAAATCTCTATCATACCAGGACGAGGATCATGTATTATACTGCGGTGTACCCCCACCGGAATGCCTTAACAGCTATGTCCATTGCCACCCTCCCGTGACCTCATCAACTCCAACATTGACTCATTTACCCTCTCCCAAAACCTATGGCCGGTAGCCCCGAACGCCCAACCCAGTAATCCAGGAACATGCACTCTTTGCGGGATTTAGATGCCCAATATTGAATACCGAGTGATATTACATGACGAGAAATAACATTCCGCGTTGTATGTTATCATAATATTATATTGTATAATTATACAGCCTTTGTGAGTGCAGGTGAAGGGGCGGAGACAAACGAATGTACAGATACCCTCTGGCTATGAAATTAGCTGGGTTACCATACCCTCAGTCCCTCCCTCCCCCCCAGTGGAAATAACCCCTTCATTTTCCTTCTTAACGACTGTATACTGTAGTCGGGCCCCTAATGAGAAGCGGGTTTACAGGAGCCGGTGGATTGCTTTGACAACTTTCTCGAATTTATCGACGCTAGCTCAGGGGTGTTATATATGCTTCGAATATGAGCGTGAGAAGTGTTTTAGGCTTCGTTCCTGGTGGGTTCGGATCTTCAAGATATGTAGCGAGCGTTGGGGTTGGGTGGAAATGAGAGGTATTTGGTTAGAGGCGCATGGCCACCAACGCCAAGTAGGGTGTGAGAACACAAGCCCCTACTACGTAAGTTAGAGTTGGGTCCCGAGTTCTGCTGTATCTTGCTCCAGATATTGACCACTCGTGCGGCCTTGTTGGAGCCGGGCACTTTGTATGGGAATTGTCGCCTTAGGTGTCTGGCTTCGGCTCGGCCGCGCGAGCATGTTTTGATATTTAGTTAGCAAGGTTCGGTCCCCGTGGTCCCGCCCAGCGAGGACGGGTCCGGACCACAGAAGACGACAATCACGCCGTCGTCCGGGACGAGAGGAAGGCCATCCCGGCAGAGCAAATACGAGACAAAATTGTGGCTACCCACAGTTTCCCCATTAACTGCGGTAATTAGTGGTTCCGACGATATCAAAAACCGATAGACTAGAGCCAGTCTTGAGTAGTAAAGTATCCACCGTGAGCCCTGCTGTTGCTAGAGAGTATTCTATCCAATTCCAGGATCTTGACAATGCTTGGGATAATGGGGGGGGGGTGAACACCCAACTGGTATAATACTTCGAGAGAGAAAAGAGTCAAGAAAACCACCCTGCGCCAAAGTGTCCGCTCTCAAAGAGAGAATATCGTACAACGGAAGGCCTGCAGGGACTGCTGTTGTCCTACCGTACTAGTATGATCGTTGCCACGGGCACGGCACAGTATCATACCCTACTGTCTTGTCGCCAAGAGTCATGAGTAGAACAGCTGAACCTCCACCATGTCTTCAACCCCACCAAGGCCTGTTCGCCATGAATGCCATGGATATGATTACACTGGAGGCCTATGTATTGGGGGGCGCATTAGCAGCCCCGCGGCATAGAACAAAAGGTGTCTTGATTGAGTCAAAGAAAAGTCCGGGTATTCTTCTATACCAGACCGGAGACCTAGTTCACCATAAGACTTTAACCCTATCGATAATGTGTGGTGGGCTCTCAGGCAGTGCATTAAAAGCAAGATATTGCCTCCCTGGATCCCAGGCTGAAATGCATCCCGCCGGGCAAAGAGGGATGGGATAAACTCCAGAAAATGTAGAGATTGAAATGACCTGCAAGCTTAGTATTTCTACACTATGTCTCCTCTCTCTTGTGTTTGGAAGAACAATCCCTTTCGTTACCGTATAGTTTATGAGAACGGGAGTGTTTGGTGGGAGGTGCTGCCATTCTGCTCGTGACTTTTGGCCCCAGGATCGCAACCCACAGGTACCAGTACTGTAACCACAAGTACAAGTGGCCATGATCGTTGCGATGGCGGTAGGTAGCCGCGATAGTAGCCCAATAGGCTTTAACTTCTGATATATGGCAATGGCAATGAGACGGCGCTTGTCTGTCCATCGACTGCTGTTGGAACGAGTCTGGACTGGCTTGGCAGGTGTTGTACGTACAGTATCTATTTGTATAATACGGTACGATTTCTCATCCCCTTAAGTTAGGTCATTTGTGTCTTGGTCATGTGACACACACATGACAAAGTATGATAATATTATGATATTAATAATAGATTTCTTTGGTGAGTGGTAGTTCACGTGACTAGATATAGGTATATATGGAGGAGGTTCTTAAAAAATGAATATCCCCGCCTGTGCCGTCGAACTAAACTGCATTGCGTCCACTCATGACTGTCAACTTTTATCACAAAAAGGGAGAATCGAAATACCAGCTAGACCACCCTGGACACAACCAGGACTGCCTGGGGCAACCGCGGTACCACTAGAAGCACTGGCAAGGCAGAGAGTTCGTCAAAGGAGTTTTATGATCTGGGGCCTCTGGTGAGACGATCCCCGTATAACATGCCCCATTAGAAGTCAGTGGCGGCCTACCTGCAGAGAGAGGGCTTTTTAGGATCCACCTTTTTTCTTTCTTTCGCAATTTGTGAGAATCCGAGTGATGGGATGTGATAAAGCGGGTTGGAAGTGCAACTTGAGTCGGCGATATATTTTTTGAGAAGCGAAAGGGGGAGGAGAAATGCTAGTTATCTATATTGCCAATCTCCGACTCGAAAGGAAAATTAATTAAAAATACTATCATACCGCCAATACATTTCCCCGAGTGATATCCCCCCCAACGTACACGGTACACACATCATAAATCCGGGTAACCCCCATTTAACAAGCTGCCAACCAACCACCCCACTACTGTGTCATATTATCATATCATACCTCCAAGCCAAAAAAAACTACACTTCACGACGACCCTCCGAATCGAAACATATCTGATCCCCCAATCCGATCCACCACATCTCACAACACACCTGCCTACCTACGTACTGTACCTGCCTGCTTGCCTAGACCCCAACCTCGCCGTGCGGGGAGATAAGTGAGGGGGGGAAGAAAAAAATGCAACCAACAAACCTCCTCCACCGCGCAATCCGTCGCCTCCAGCTAACCACGAAGCAAGTCAACGGCGGCTACTACAAGGGCACCCGCTCGGGGGCAATGGGTCGACACACCAAGCACGGACAGTACATTATCAACTGGGATAAGGTCAGGACTTATGTCGTTCCCGACTTGAAGGGTTTTGTGGTTTGTTCCCTTCCTTCTAGGTATGTAGGTAGGTAGAAGGGATCAGGGCTAACTTTTTGAGGGGGATGGGGCGTGGTTAGTTGACGCCGTTCGTCACGAGAAAGATGGAGCCTACGCGCGGGGAGTTTCCGGGGAGTAGTCCGTTGGATGGGAAGGCTTATTTGGAGAATTGGAAGATGGTTAATGGGGAGGATTAGGTGTGGTGTGGTTGGTGGCCAAGTGGTGATGGTAAGGTGGTGTGTGTATATATGAAATGTACGATATCCGATGGACTAGGTAATTGTGTTGGAGTTTTCTTCGTTACCCCCCCTCCCCCATTCCCTCTCTTGGTATGGAGTAGATTTTTTCACTTTTTTATCCACAGCACAGGTGAATTGGATGGGGCCTTGGAGCAGCCGGATTTTGATATCAATGTACCAACCAGGATTTGATGGTGACCATTTTCAATCAGACATTGTTCAATCTCGTATCACATTCAATTGGATGCACCATAGGATTTGATGCCAAGAGTTTTGCATTCTATCAAGCTCGTGGTAACCCAATTTGAAGCGCCAGTCACGGAAAGAAGAAGGAAAAAACAAAAACGAGAAAGCCCCCCCCTTTTTTTTTTCAACCCAAGGTGGACCTCGGTTTCTTATCATCGCGTTATGTTGGGATTTTTTACACCATGACTACATTAGATCGTAGGTTGTCCGCCAAATGAATCAAAGTATCGTACCCCCATATCATCTCAAGTTTTTTGCTATCCATAATGCTAAAGAAGGAAAGAAGTAAACCCGAACCCCCCCCGAACCTGTTTAACTGCGAGGCTTCTCCTTCTTCTCTTTCCACAGGCTACACAATTCCGTTAGTTCATTATTATTGGCATTTCTGCGGGGACTAGGTCTCTTACGCAGATAGACCAACACCAGAGACTTTGACGACCTTAAATCGGACACCAGGAATATCCCCCTTGGCCTTGCCCTTACGACCGAATCCAGCGAGAAGAACCTCGTCGTTCTCATCAACAAAGTTCAAGCAACCATCGTTAGGAACTATCCCACGAGTAAATCATTAGCCACTTGCAATTGAGTCCCCATTCATCTATCCTCCCGACTCTGCACCCTACATCAAATCAAATAACCCAACACCGCGTCCCGGAGGAAAAATAAAGAAAATCTAAGACATACCGAAGGCAGTCACTTTCTTGCTGTTCTTGATAAGCTGAACCCTCACACACTTTCGGATAGCGGAGTTTGGCTGTTTGGCCTCGACACCAACTTTTTCGAGGACGATTCCCTTCGCATGAGAAGAACCACCAAAGGGAGAAGACTTGAAGGCGGTTCCGAGGAGCCTCTTCTTGAATGACTGATCAGCCCAGCGGTTATCACGTCGGTGGGTTCGAAGCTTGCGAGCGGCGTTGAGTCCTCTTGGTTTTCCTCTAGAAATTGCGAGAGAGAAAAAGGAGTGGTCAGTAAGAGCTCCCAGTAAATATCTGAGCGAATATCAAACTAGACGGATTTCGAGTACTAACTTTCCCATCTTGAACTTTGTCGATTGTGTTGACGGCTGAAAAGGTAATGGTGGCGGTTGTCGTAGGCTGCCGTTGGGATTGTTGTCGAGAGCAGTGCAAGGATTGCAGTTATAGGAAGTTTAGTGGGGTGAAAAATGGGGTAAACCCTAATCGCGGAAAACGGTCACTCCTAGCGTGATTTAGGTTACCCGGCCCTAGAGATGATGGCCCAAAATGGAGGTCTTGTGTTACAGTGGCGCAAGCCTTCAACGGCCTGAACCTGAACGCACGGGTTCTTCCTCACGCCGAACCCACTCCGCCCAAGATTGGCAGACTGATAATTCAGCTGCTCGTATTCAATCACTGAGATAGGAACTCCATGCCGTACCTACTCCAGCGGAGTTGGCCAAACAAACCCAAGCTGCCCTATCAAACGTTTCCACTTCACCACATCCTCAAACCCACGCCGAAACCCCGCAAAACGCACAACGCACGACGCAGGATATAGATATCTGTAATCTCTGGACTGCGCGAAAAGAGTACCGATAGGAGAGATTTCTGTGGTGTTGTGATTATTTCACCTATCGATTGCGCAGTCTTTAGCCGCAAATTAATGGTTCAAGGGCGCTATCTCCTCTAGGCTCCCAATGCCGCGCATGGCGAATTGCTCCGCCATTGCGATAAGCATCATAATTAAGCCCGAGGGTTACCACCGCACTCGGGCACAATTCTCTTCCTCCACTTAGGATGGTGTGATGATCCGAAGGGATTGCAGCTCCCTGCGCTTTCTGATGGTTGCATTAAAATATTGTAATCAGCGGCTACAAGTAGCATGCGGAAATTCATTTTCAACTCATCTTTTCTGAAAATACCCTGCTATCAGGGCCTATAAGACGATAATGGTAAGACAGAGGTTTTCTTTTCTTCTTCTTTTGCTTAACTTAACTTTCCCTTTACTTGAGCACAGTAAGTACTCGTACAGGTACTCGTACTTTGCCTGCGTGGAGATAAATTTATTGTAGATTGGCCCAAGAAATACTTTTTTTTTCTCTTTTTTTTTTCTTTTTCTTTTGGGAGTTTCCCGGGGCAGCTTTACGAGTAGACTCATAAATTTCAGCGATGCTTTCTTGCACACCCTCCCACTCCACACCACCTCCCTTTTTTTTTTTCTCTTCCAAAATTGGTGCTGAACAAAACACCTTTGCCATTGCCGTGGATACTGCCGGTAGATAGATGGAGCTGTCGGAGTATCAAATACGGAAAATATAAGGCATGCTCACTAGCAGCATTGAGCTGAGCAGAATAACTTTTCGAGGATCCCCAGACCTGATATCTTCTTCCCTGGTGAGTAGTCTATCTAGAGCAGCGCTCTCGTCGAGTATCAACAGATGATGTTGTGTTGATACGACCTTGATACAGTACTCGGGTATTATCACACATTCCCACGCTGCAAAACCCTATGATACCATAGAATGCTGAAGCCATTCCCATTCCTTGGCTAAAGAAATAATTAAATTTTAAATGATGCATCATGCGTCATGACGATTCGCATAGCACTGCGATGTGTGGATAGGGTGCAAGTAGGAGTACCGGTACTCAAGTACCGGTAATCGTATCGCGCCCATGCAGTAATTTGGGAAAATAGGGAAAGTTGTTCTATCCCATGTACGAGTACCCTAAGATACTGTATTGAGTGCTCAGGAAAATGGGGCATTCTCATGCACGGTATCATATGTGATTGTGGTAAAATTTTGCGAAGGTGTTCGTTGGGCAAGGATAGGTTTACGGAGAATTTGATGTAGGTACCGGTAACCGGTACAGAATAGACTACAGTACAGGTATTGTACGAGTATGATACTCGTACTGTACCGCACTCTTGTAGTCCACTACTCGTATTAGTTATCTTATGATAGCTGATGGGAACTCAGACACCAATGGGCCTACCATAAGAGCTCGGATATGATACGGTAAACGGACATTGTGCCTGTACGAGTGCAGTACCGGTACGGGTACGTTGGAGTTTCCTTTCCCAGTATCATACTTGAGGTGCTTTTTTTTCTTTTTTTTTTTGCAGTATTTTCCGCCCCTTTTCCAGAGGAAATTTTGGGTATGATACCTATCATACCATGAATTATGATACTATCATCATATCGGTAGTACAAGTATGATAGCATGTGGTCCGTTTATTCGAGTCCTTACTCGTGCGGGTAAGTTGATAGAGGGAGGGAGGCTCCATGCCCGGAAGCACACCGTTTGCCGGTAAGTTACCGTAATGCTTTATCTCCATCCCATCACCGTCATGGGCATCTCGTCAAGCGTGCCAAGACAATACTTGAGTGCTTTCAGGTTGGGTTTGAACGTCAAATGAATCCAAAGTGGGGAGAAACCACAATACCACAAAACCGCAAATCCAAGAAAAGCGACATCATATTATTATTATCATAATACAGCTTGACGGGCTGCGGTAACTCATATGGCTCGAGCTCGTGGGAACTTGGCCCGAAAGGTGGGGAAGCAGGCGTTAGTCTACCGCACTCGACGCAAACACTACTCATAATCCGTCTTCAATGTATGATATTTGACGATGGTTTTGAACTGGCCTTAAAAAGTACATTTGCATCTCGATCTCTTGCTCCTTTCTATGCTTTTCTTTTTCTCTTTCACTCTTTTCCTCACTCTTTTTCTCTCTCTCTCTCTCTCTTTTTTTTTTTCACCTTCTCTTTTGTTTTCTTTCTTTCTTTCTTTCTTTCTTTCTTTCTTTCTTTCTTTTTTTTTTTTTTCCACCCTTTATTTCTCATTTGCCTCCAAATGATTAAACCATCTTTCCCCTTCCTCACTTTCTTCTTCTTCCTTAAATTCTTCTCATTCCCCCGTTATTATTCCCTTCCTCCATCTTCCATTGGCGACGCCATTTCAAAGACTCGTCAGATAGGACTACCGTATTCACTCTCACCCCCAGCCCCCCCCCCTCTTAACTATCCTTCACAACCATTAGCATTCTCCTTTACTTGTGGGTCGGAAAAAAACCAAATCGAAGGCCACATAAAATCCTATATGTACTGTACCACCACTTTGTCTCTAACTGCCATTTCGCCGCAGATATCGCCTTTCTGAGAGTCTGTCCGGCGTAAACTAGTAAGGTGCAGCTGCCTGCCGGAACCCGCCTTGTTGCACCCGAGATTTTATGAGATCCCTGTTATTGACCCTGCACAACAACAGCTCCCAATTTCGCAATTGCTCCCGTGCCATCCAACACCGTGCAACCGTTTTCCGGCTCTTGCCCTTCGCTTCCTCTTCTTTTTACCTGTACGTGATAAGGCGAGGGGTCCTGGTATATATATATTTCCCTTCGCCCCTCCCCTCCCCCTAAAACCCTTCCTGCGGCTTCCTAGGCCCCGCCTCTTTTGCTTTATCTTGCTTTGCCTTTGGATCCGGTCAAACTCTTGCAGCTTCGTGGGTTTATATGACCATTTGGAGCTCCTTTACCCCCCACATTCCTCAATAATCTATGAAGTTCGGTGAGGCACTTCCTCAGCGTTCCGTTCAGGAATGGCTGCCATGTAAGTAGTACCTTTTATTTTCTCTATATCGTTACGACCGACCGACTCTGCTGCTCCTGGGATGCTAGTTTTACTGACGTCGTGAATACGCCATCAGATAACCTTGACTACAATGAGATCAAACAATTGATCAAGCGATATACCACTGGGAAGCCACTTGTCAAGTCGCCCGAAGCAAAGACAGACTTTGAAGATGAATTCTTCAATATTCTGATGGATCAACTTGGAAGGGTATTACCAGCCATCGCTTTGAGGAATCGCTGCGAATCACTAACAGTGGTTCAGATTGACCTGTTCGTCAAGAGCAAATCCGGCGAAGTTGACCGCCGTATAGGCAAGCACACTCGGTGCTTTAATTCAAGATAGGAGCTTTGTGCTGACCCCCCCCCCCTATAGTCCGATGCAAACGACAGGTTGCGGCTCTCCGAAGACGCGACACAGAGGACTCAGCCCTACATCATATCCGGCGGCCAGGTCGCTCGACAAAGCTCGAACAAGAGGTTGAACGGTGAGTCCATCCATTCTGCTGTCTTCTTGTACAATTCGAGCGATTGAATTCATGCTAACGGTGTGGGCTAGTGTGAGTTATGAGGTGCAGTGCCTTTCGCGCTTTGTAAACGTTCAACGTACTGGGTTCCTCAAGCTCTTGAAGAAATACAAAAAATGGACCGGTTCATCACACTTACTTAATCGGTTTCTTCCAATATTGAAATCTCCTACAGCTTTCCACAAAGTAGACTTTGAAAAGAACGTGCTAGAACTTTCGAACCTATTAAACGCAATCCGCAACGGCCTTGATCTACCTGCTGCCGCACCATCACCTCAAATAGTGACCCAGCCAAAAAGGATTCGCGGTGCCGAGCAAGAAGACCCGCAAGACCGCGCGCTATCCATTGAGACCGTCTTATCCCAAAAGGCCATTGCTACCGCGGAGGGTCGTGCTTACTTGGACACTGCCCTCGCGACATCGACATTGGGAGACAGTTGTGGGGGAAGGGCAACCTTCTGGGTACACTACGACCATTTGATCGAGTTGCAAGTCCTATTGTTGAAGTATCTTACTTTGCAGACATCGCCTGCCTATAATGCCCCCCCAACACCTCCATCGAGGAAAGACTCAATTGGAACTCTTTGGAAAGACGATGAAATTGGGGTTGTGCTCCTCGATGATCTGGAGAGCTTCTCTGACATCCAAAGCTCTGCTACTGTTGCAGAGGCTAGCAAAGCATGTTCACGGACTGCAGGGCAGGTTAGGTGGTGTTGCAGGGATTCGGATGCTGTGGTCGTAGTTTCCAACGCATCTGCTTTAATCCTGAACAAGATTGCTGGCCACGAGGAAGAGAAATTGGAGGTAAGAATGAAGAGAAAGCAAATCGAAGAACTGCTCGACACAGGATCCATTTCGTCTAGAGCCGATATCAATCATACCACGAATGAACAGGGAGAGACCGGCGTAGAAAAGCTTGAGGAGTGGTTAGCGGAGCACAAGAATGTTACACCATTAGTTAAACTGCTCATGAAACGGATAAGATTCGCGGAGACACCGGAGGGGGGCCGAGTATGGGCGCTTTTAGATTGGGATATCAAAATGACAAAAGTTCAACAAGGAACAAACTGGCTCACTCGGCCAGAAGAGGACGGACCGGGATTTGGAAGTGAGGGAAGAAGGGAATTTCCCCATGCTGTTCTTGAGGTTCAATGGGAAGGACAACGAGTTCCAACATTTTTGCATGAGCTCGAAACCAGCCACATGGTTAGTTACGCCCTTGGCCCCCATTCATAAATCGGTGGCTTGCCCTCGTTGGTCATATCACTAACCCTTTCCTAGGTGGAGAACGTCAGAGGCTTCTCATTGGACGTTCATGCCTTGTCCGTGCTATACCGGCCTAGAAATATGACACCTCCTTTTTGGGTGACTACAAGCTATTTCTACAAACTCTTCAACCTACTAACATATCCGCACTCTAGTTATCCGCTTTGCAAAGAGATATCCGCAAAACCCCTGTGCATACACCGCGCCACAGCAGGCGTAGCTCATCTCACATGATGTTTACAAGCGCAGCATCCAAGAGCACTTCTAATGGAACCTCCGCTGCTATGGCTCACGACTTTGCGGATGGGTTCGATTCGTCGACTACCGCGTTTTCTCATACGGCCCCCACTGTTTTACCCAAAGCGAAGTCGAATCGACCAAAGAGCGGGCTATCGTCCATTGAGCATATAGGTGGAGAGCGGTATTGGAGCGAGTTCAATGACGATGAAGACGATGAAGAACCATATACAATACTCATAAAACGTGGGGACACGTCAGACGACGACTGCGAAGATGAAGATGTTTCACTCTCGGACTTTATACGAAAAAGTGTTTTTTCAACTGGCCATAAATTCCAGGCGCTATTCACTGCATCACCCAAACATTCAGGGGAAAGAAAGCCTCTCCTCCGTAAACCAAGCGTCCCATCATCCGAGTCATCGAGCGAGATTGATGTGGAAGTAGGGGCTTTCGGTACAGGTGCCTCTAGCCGGGCTCATTACAATACCTTCTCACGACCCGCGACAATCAACACTCCCTTAAGCCCTACATATGTTTTTTGCCTTGGGGGTGCTGTGGTAATACTCATTGTCACTCTGATTCTAGCTATGAATTCTTCCCTAGCAAGACACAAACATAAATGGCGCAGGGGGCACTTTACCTTAGACCTTGAGGTCTGCGGTGCTGTATTGACAGCGTTGAGCTTGGCAAGTATCGGGTTATTCATATTCCTGAAGAGCCGAAGCAGGGCGGGGCCAACGCACCAGATGTTCGCTTGGGGATCCTTTGGTGCGGTCTGCATCGGCAGTGGGGTAGTCCTTGCTATGGTTGGAAATCGTGAAGTGGGGAACTAGCTTTTTTTTTTTCTTCAGGCTTTAGCGTGGTTTTGGTTCTGCATAAGGCGTTGTTTGACAGACCTTGTTCTCCTCTCTTTTTCTTCTTTTATTTTATTTTATTCCAGCGGTACAAATTTAACTTACAAAGCATGCGTAGATATCTGTTATGCTGCAACGATTTTCCTTTACCCCCCCCCTTCCCAACCACTCTTCTGATATACATTTTCCCTTTGCTATGCGGTTTACGTGTAATATAGGCTCGATTGGCGAATGCGGTGTATCTTCTATTATTGCAGATGGTCTTGGCTTTGGACACCAGACCTATCTGTCGTAGGGTGAAGGTAGCAGTCAACTTTCGGAATCGTCTGCCGTTTTTCTTCTTCTTCCTTCCTTTTCCTTTCTTTTTCTTCTCATTAGTCGCACGATACCTCTGGAGACCTCCGCCCATCATTCGCTGTCTTCTCTCCTTCTTTCCTTCCCACAATCACTCCGCATCCCGCACCTTTTTTGTCTATCAAATTGTTAAATACAGTATTTGTGGTGAAATAAAATGGGGCCAGCTTGGTAGGACGCCTGAAAAAACATTTATTAAGTTTCAATACATCTAACTTGGAACTGATGTGCTAGAAACCCATCGGAGCGTTGAAATAAACTCCCGGGGAATAAAATTGGGAGATATTCAGGGATTATGGAACATGTCGCACAACATCGCGTCGTTGTCGTAATGATACACTTCAGAACTTTCCACGCTTAACTACCGTATGAGCATGATGCGATTTCCCTGTCTTGCAAACCCCTGGAACTGGAACCGGTTGTTCGGGGTTATGAAAGCCTATGGTTCCCACATGAGCCAATAAAAAAAAATACATGCACCACTCTTATTATACCCCCGCTCACTTCCGCACGGAACTCTATGTGGCACCACCGATCACTCGACTCGCCAATCCGAAACACCATACCATCAAACTTTGATCGTTCAACTGGACATGAAGTCCAAGTCTCTACAGTGGTATTCACTGGTTCATCAGAGCTCTAACAAACGGCGGCTGATAGTTTTCTTGAAGTACCGCACGCCACCAGAGCGACATAATCCGAGACCATGAGATCCAGGGATGACCTAATTAGGTGGTGCTAGGTGAATTTCATTAAAACTGCAGTGCTTTCTAGTACTCCCCGCTTTTCAGACACAGGGCTCCCGCCATAGAAGTCATCATAGGCATTCGGGGACTCAATGACAGTATCAAAACTCCGATTAAGCCTAGGTGCACAGCCTCACTTCTGCGCGCTGGGTATCGAACGCTTTTGATTACCACTAGCCATCCTAAGGGAGACGCGAAACCACGAAAACATCAGACCAGTAGGGGAAAGGGAGTAAAAGGGAGTAAGAAAACAAAGAAAGAGTAAACCACTCCTCGACATACAAAACGCAAGACTGATACAACCAACCACCAAATTCTCTAGTGACGTACACAGCGACAAAATCCAAGAGCAAGCCTTCCCTGCTATGTTACACTTAACAAACTGCATCAAACTTAATCCACCTGGCCTTCGAAGGCTCATGATTTTGGGGACTGGTCAGAAGGTGTTGGGGACAATTCCTGGGGCTTGACATCGGTTGGGGTCTGGGCCCGTGGAAATGGCGAGACTGGTGTTTGGACGGCAGGCGATGTTGTTCTCTGCGGCTGTGGTGCTGGTCGTCTGCTCCATTGAACAGCGTTGTCAGATGTGCCCTGGGAAACTCTCTGAACTACAGTTGTCACTGGACTTGCATTGACTAATTGACATTATTAGAGTTGATCATTGGGTTGCGGTGATTAACTGCGTACCCGTAGCTGTGGACTTTTCTTGTGCCCTCTTCCGACGCGCAGGGTAGAGGGTTCTGTACTTTTCAAACAATGGTGACAGGTCTGCTGTGGGATCCTTATTCAGGGTCGCACTGAAGAACCTCATAGCTGAGTTGTTGAGTTTCTGCAGCCTTTGCTGGAGCTCCGGGGTCATGGGAAGCGGGGGAGAAGGAGTTATCGCTGCCACCGCTTGATCCATTTCGTCCTGGCCCTCATCGGTGGTAACTGACTCCGTTTCAGTTGCCCTGCTTCCTCCTGCTCCTGCTCCTACAGATCCCACAGTTGTCGGATGAGGTGGGGGAGCTCCATTCTCGCCGTCCTGGTCCATTTCCCATCAGTTTTGGTTATGGTGGTGTGAGCTCTCTCTTTACGGCAGCTCACTTACTTTCTCTTTTACCCAACCCTCCTTTTTTAGATATCTGCTCAATGTCGCGACGCTCACCCATTCGTCAAACTCATCATGCAATACCCGGGCGAGCTCCTCCAGATACATTTCCGGCTTCTCGGTCAAGGCCTCCAGCACTGCCTAAAGACAATTTGAAAATGCACCGCGTGAATAGAGGGAATTGTGAACCCCCCCCTCCAGAGAGGGGGAGAAAGAAAAAATGAATTCCTACACACCTGTGCCATGGGCTCAGTTATCTTTGCAGGTCTTCCAACAACACCTTGGCGCGGCTTATTTGTTGTGCCATACTTTTTTAGATTCCTCTGAATGCGCACTACTGTTCCATAGCAAACGGGAGGATCAACATGCTTTCCAATATCCTTGCGTGGGATTTTTCCGTCAGCGAGCAAAGCCTCGATTTTCGCTCTCTGTTCTGCGCTTGTAGGGGGCGACATCGGATCAAACTCGACTCCTGGTGCTGCTACCGTATGAAAACAGCGATTTTGCAAATTCGCATTTGCTCAACGCAGAGAAAGCAAAATATAAGAAAGGGGAGTGTATTATGCGGGGGCACACGAACAAGGTTATTTTTTTAGAAACCTTTTGTTTCGTCTGGTTTTCGTTCCCGGGCGACGTAACTCTATCTCTTGTTCTCTCGAGCTCTCGCACTCCCCTCCTCACGGGAGAACTGCTTTGGCAGAGCAGCCTTTTATATTACTCGGAGAATGATTTCTCGAAGAAAAAAAAAAAGGAAAACCAAAACCTCCGCGCAAAGCGGCTCGTTGTTAACGTCACAACAGCCCCCTCTCGACCTTCAAGCTCAGTTCCCCCAGGACAATAATCCACCGGATACCGGTATCATGTCACCAACTCCCCGTGAGGGGAGAGAGAGGGAGGAAAAAAAAGAAAGTGAGATCGAAATGCCTAACCAGTGGCTTGCATGGCGAGTGACCATTCGCAACACCACTGGGAATTAACTGAGATGTATCATACCACACCTAAATTCTATTAACTGTAACCTACTGTATATAATCCCAAGAGATTTCACGATGGGCCGATATTCAATTGGATCCCGTTCACTTTTTTTCTTTTTCTTTTCTCCTTCTCCAAATTCTCTACTCCTTTCTCTCCTCAATGGACCTTGGGACAGCGCCCTAAAGATGCTCTAGAGAGATGTTAGAATAATGGAGTTGGAATTCCGTCCCTCAAAGGGAAAGCGGGGTACTCGAGTACTAGTACAGTACCGCAATTTTAAGCAAAGTACCGTAGATCAATAGTGGACAAACGGGGCGACTCTGTTGACAAGTTCCCCTTCGGACACGACCGTCGTCTACGGCCAGACCCTTCACTAAGGAAGGCGCGTGTTGGTGTCTTACAAATGAATGACTACCAAAATTAAAAGCGAAGCAGCCTGGGTTTTTGCCTATCTCTAATCAACGCAACCCTAGTCGACAGCAACAGTACTGTAGCAAAGGGGGAAAATACTCAAGTTAGAGGGTGCTTTGACCTGAATTATCCTCAAATCTATTTTTTTCGAGAAAGATACTGTCCTATTAGGGAGGGAAAAAAAAGGCTCCCTACTCTCCCTACCGTATTGCCGTCATTATTTTTCATTCATTATTTTAGTAAAGGGGATTGGGGGGTTTTTTTTTTTTTGGAATCTTTTATTTTCATTTCTGCAAAAATATTTTTACCATTACCGCCTCCGAGTGATATCCTGGGGCCGGTCGTAACTCTTTTCCTTCTGGGGTGAGAAGCAGATAACCCACGGTATTGCTATCTATATATATAACCTTGTATGATACCTAATAAAATATGTCTCCCCCATTTCAATACCATGCGCTGCAAGCAAGCTTTTTTTTTTTTTTTTTTTTTTTCTCGCAAGTCCGATTTACAAGTTTTCCAAATCCATTAAGATCCGAGTCAACCAGAAAAGCCAGAGCAGATATGATATACGGTAGGGTACTGCACTCGCGAATTTCACAAGTATCCGGACACCTTAATTCTAAGGCACACCAAAAGCATAGATCCTCGGCGCCAAGGTGTCCGGATATCTTTGAAACTGGCGAGTATGAGTGAGTGAGTGGGAAATGCTCAATGCTCCAGGTAGGGTACCTGTGCCATACTGTACGAGTACAGTACAGTACACCATGGCTAAGTAAGCAAGAAAGTGGCAAGAGTGCTCCGAAGCCCAACAATACTCAAGTACGGTACCGTACTCGAATAGACTACTACGGTACACGACACAGCATCCCACACACGAGGCCAGTGCGAAACCAGAGTCCATGCACCAACAGAAACGAACAGGACAGGGCGCAATTGGCCCACAGCTAACTTGAGCGCGAATTTTTCGTCTTCCCTTTTCCCTTCCTCCTTCCCCACCCCTTCTCGCCCCCATCACCAGAATGGCAGCAACAGGCCCAGCAACAACGCCCTACACCGACGCATTCGGTACATACTATACTCACAGATATCAACTACGATGCAAGTGACTCTGCCCTCGAGGTGCTCATGCGTGCGCGCGCACGCACATGCTTTTTGTTCGCCTGTTCGTCCGTTCTCTGGCGCGGGGGGAAGGGGGGGGGGCGTCATTCGATCGGATGATATCATACCGTTCATTCCATTCATTCACTCCTGCGATATTTTGCTGATGGTGCTCGCTGCAAGCGAAGCCCTATTCTGATCTGCCCGTCCCTCTTTCCGTCTTTTCGACCTGGGTTGTGTTCTGAATTCTGAACTGAGCCGGTTGGCGGGGCTCGGTCAGATCGTAATGTATCATATGTTACGGGGTATTAATATCTAGGGTACGGCAAGGTGGGTTGGTTCAGCCTCCGGCACGGGGGTGGCTGCCCTTTTGAGGGTTTAAGAGTCCATGCGTCTGGACCGTCAGTATCATGCCTTTGAGAGTTTACTCAATAATAATAACAACGTGGCGGCGGCTTTTATGGATAGATGGATAAATGGATGGAGAGGGAAATATGGTAGCGTGGTGCCCGCGTGGAAAGCTCTCTTTTCCTTTTTCCTTTTTCCTTTTTCTTCCTTTTTCCTTCTTTTTGACCTTGCTTCTCCTGCAGCGGCTGGGGTTAGGTATACGAGTGATTTTGCGTGATTGAGATTGGAGCGGGGGGGGGGTATCAAAGCGAAGGAGGGATTATGGGAGAATGTTTAGTGGGAAAAAACTTTATTTTTATTTTTATCTCTACCTTTATTTTTTACGGGAGGGAGAGAGAAGGGGGAGGGGTACGGTAGGTTGAGTGACGATCAGGTCCAGCTATTTCACAGTAAGGAATCTTCGTTTAATTATTATTATTTGAAGACCCCTATCACAAGGCAGCGACGGGTACCGGTACCGGTATGATACTACAGTACGTATGTATGCCCCTATGGCAAGCGCTCGTTCTCATTCCTCTCCTTCTTTCCCTCATCTCCCACCTCATCTTCTTCCCCCTCCTGAGGACAAACGAGAAGAAGAAAAAAGAAAGAAACCCCCCCCCGCAAACAGTCGCGCACAGGGCACTTTTGCGTGGATCACCGCAGTTCAAACGGGGATTCAACTCAATCCAATTCAATCTAACATCTACCAGTATGGCAATCTGTGTCGAAGGAAAGCATTAACTTAACCGGCCGGACATTACCTAATGGGCGATTTTGATAAATAAAAAGGTCACGACTATCCCCTTCCCACTATTTCTGTAATATCTCCGCATACCCCTTCCTTCGGACTAATCGCACAGCACGAGTACTCGAGTACAGTGCTGCTGGTACATGAAAAGCAGGAAGGAGCAGGAGGAGTGAGAAGTGAGTGAAAAAAAAGGGGGGGGGGAGAGAAAGCAAGACCCCCATGCAAAATCCGGTCATTCTGGAACTGGGCTGCTCAACCGCGACGGCCGACCAAAAAATAAAATTCCGCCCCAGTCTCCCTCACAATATCTTACGTTACCTCAACCATACGAATATTTTACTTTCACTTTTCTTTTTTTCTTTTGCAAAAAGCTAGAGGAGCCCCAAGGCTTTTTGCCTCGCACTTGATGTCTGCATCCGAATTTTCTTCCACGGAGCTCTCTTAACGGGCTCTCAGCCGGGGAGCGGTCCGTATGGGCGTATGGACGCGGCGTCCATGGTTGGGATCGATGCTACGTTTTCTGTTTCGGGAAGACGTTTGGCCTTCGCCCCCGCCGCGAGGGTTTTGGAGAGTTCGCCCCGGATCTCGTGGGTTTGCTGATCACGTCAGTCTCTTGAGTCTTTTTTTCTCCTTCCCAAGAGCGAATTTCGGGGAAGAAGAAAGGAAGGGATGAAAGAAGGGAGGCTTGATGACGCAAAGAATGGAGGGGATCAAGGGGAGAAGGAGAAGAGAAAAAACTGAATGTTTCGCGACTCTCGACAAAGTAGTACGAATAGTATATCCCCTCAGGACTCCAAACCTCCATCCCAGAGCCACACCCGATGGCCTCCTCCGCAAGCACCAAGTATACGGTAACCTCGCAGGATCATCAACGTGCACACACACCTAAGCATTCGTCCCCTCCAAACCCTTGAAAGTCTCCTTCCTCCTCAATGCCTCGTTCACCAAGGACGGAATCTGAATACTCCAGGTGTCCCCCGCTTCGCTCCCATTTATAAATCATTGGCAGACACAATCACTGTCTTTACATTCCACCCATTTCTCCTCGGTCACGATCCCGTCCACATCGCGGCGTACTCGGGTACGTGCCCCCTCGTCCGGAAACTCGTAATCTCTGTTATGCCTTCAATATCACCGTACACCCTCCCACGTAGCTTGCTCAACGTCGAAGGGTCGGCGAAGTGTGAGAGTATCGCAGTGCCGGAAACGTGAATGACGTATGCGGTCCCCGCGGGGGTCCCGGAGATTATGGCCTTTGTGTCCGGGATGTGGTCTACGTTTGCAAAGCGCAGGACGATGTCCGAGGTCGCGCAGGCCGATTCTGTGAGCGTGGTGCTGTCGAGATCGCCGATGAGGGCGTGGGGAGTGTGAGTACCTTTTCGTGACTGCTGCGGCCCTTGCTTGGTCGCGGACTAGGGCTGCGATCTCGTAGCCTGGGTGGGTGGTTGTTCGGAGGTTGAGGGTTGTGCTGCCGAGGTAGCCTGTTGCGCCAGTATCGTACCAATTGGTTCATTCAATCGCGGGTTAGTGGAGTTGAGGTACCGGTACCGACGCCGTGGTGTGGGTTTGTTGGAAGGCGTGAACAAAGATCTTGGGAGCCACATCTCCTTTTTTTAATTTTTACCTTTAGGGGGGGGGGTAATGAATTGTCGGGGGTTACATGAGAATACCGGCATCAGATCCCGTGTTCTTGGAGTGATGCATAGCATACTACTACTCTATCAATTTTTGAGTTTTTCATTGATTTATACTCTCCTCTAACTCTACGAGTGCTCGAGTAGCTATGATATCTATCTTCCCGCCCACCCGCCAGCCAGGACAACGAAAAGCGAATCCACTAAGCACATCCTCGCAATTCCAAACCCCAAATTCCACCCCCACCCTCCCTCTCAAACCATCCAAAACCATCCCTCCCTTCCTCCCTCCCGCTAGAGATCCTCCTTTACACCTTTGGTCCACATCACACCACCTACCCGAGTACTCTGCCCCCCCCCAGTTATCCGCAGGACCCATCGCAGCACTGTGGCGCTTTGCGGTACCAGTACTTACGGCACTCATATATGATAGTCTAGTACTCGTACAGGTACCGGTGTCTATGGTATTTATGCGGTAGGGTATCATAATAAAGGGCTTGACCGTCACGTGATACCATCAGTGCTACATTTACAGGTAGCATTTGTCGGGTTTGTACGAGTAGTTACTGTGGTGGTGTTTTGTTTTGTTTTGTTTTTCTTCTTTCTTTCCGGCTAGGGTTTTGAAGGTGTGTACGAGTACGGTATCATACTTGTGGGTGGGTAGGTACCATAGGTGGTGGGGAGGGGAGGGATGGATCGGTGGGTTATCGGTTGTCGGCCGGGAAGGGACTGGGTGGCGGGGTGTGTGCTTGGGTTGAGGGTGAAGGGGAGGGGGGTATGATGGTAGTAATTCAAAGATTGGCGGGAAAGTGCAAGGAGTAGTAGACTAGGGGTTTGTTTATGCGTTATGGTTTGCTATGGGGGGGGTTAGTCTGAAGTTTCTGGAGACCGGTGTTCCCGAGTGATTGACTATGACTGTCTGTTGGCGATGGTGGTGGTAGGGGTGGTCAGGATGGCTTAAGCGGTGATCTCCAGAGATTTATCGGGTGTAGGAAATATACATATAGAGAGAGAGCCTTTGAGACTATTTTGTGCTTATATACTTCGGAGGAATTGATTTGCAGGGCCGTCTACGGGAACGGAGAAGAACAACGGATCGCAACAGGGGAGAAGTAGGTTAGGTGGAGGACCATGCCTGACTGACCTCTGCCTGTCGGCTTTTCTCTACAAACTCTGACCACTCCTCCCAGGCTTTCCCGCTTGCGATGCCTTCATTTGCCTTCTCCACTGCGTTCTTCCAGACCGCACCTTTTGCCACTGTTCCCTCGGGTACTCGCTCGACTGGGCCCAGGAGCCCAGAGATAGCTATGAGGGCTGCTGTGTTCACCAGTACAAAGTCCTTCACAGCCTTCTCGTCATCTTGCGCCTGTCCTTTGAGCAGTCTCTCCAAGATTGCGGCATTCTCATCAGGACCTTTGCCTCCAGCAACTTTGGAAAGGGAGTGCGTAGGAATTCCAAAGGTCTCCGTGGGGTGAACAAAAAAGTGGTCCACCATGACCTCCTTTGTCTTAGGATCCTCCAATAGCCTCCAGCATTCGGTCCTACGTTCACACGAGACTTCATCGAGACCCTCTTCCCCGCATACTACCATTCCTTTGCTAGATCCCAGGATCTTCAATGTTTCGGCAAAGACTTGGCCAAGTTCCCGCCTACCGACGCCAATGATTCTTGCTTCTAGACCTCCCGGAACCGAGTAGTCGATTGGGTTGGCTAGAGGTCCAAGAAGATTAAAGATGGTTCGGTGTCCTAACTCGCGGCGAATAGGAGCCACATGGCGCACAGCCGGATGGAAAACAGGGGCATAAAGAAAGCAGAAGTTCCCCCTCGAAGGCTTATTGAAGATCGATGCAACAATGGATGGCGTTATAGCCATAAGCTTCGCACCTAGAGATGTGAGAATATCTGCACTACCTGATGCGGACGTGGAGGCTTTGTTCCCGTGCTTGCCTGTGAAACATTGAAACTGTTACTTCACGGTAATGTGTTACAGGGTGGGAGCAACGTGTACATATTCTTAACCCGCACCCGGAGGCTAATATCGCGGAAGTTGTAGATACATTGAAGGTATTATGACCGTCGCCCCCCGTGCCAACTATATCGACCTGCCTACTATTAGCTACAGTCCTGGTCTCTGATCCAGATAGCGGGCTCACCAAACCACCCCCGTACTTTCCTTCAGAAGTCTCATCTCCCCAGGCATCTGCCCGCAGCCCGTCAACCTTTAACCCAGCGGTTCTCATGGCCCTCGCAGCAGCAGCAATAATCTCTGGCTTCTGGTCCAACTTTGTAAAATGCAATGTCGTTAATAGCGTCCCCGTTTGTACTGGCGAGAGCTCATCGTTGAAGCTATGGGTAATAGCCTTCGTGATATCTTCGGGAGATATAGTGTCCGGAGACTCGGACAGCGCTTTTAAAAGCGATAATATAGATATTTTGGGTTCTGCCATGATGCCGTGAGGTGGGGTGGAGGTGGGTTGAATGAATGAATGGACGGGTGAGTGGATGGATGAATGGATGGATGGATGGATGGAGGAGTACTACAGTAGGGCCCGTTTACCTAACCGCCTGCGTCTAAAATTTGCGTGATGAAACTATACTTTGACGTTTTGCCAATGTCACGTTGTAACAGACGGTGCAAAACCGTTTACCGGTATGATAATTATGATACCTTATTTTCGACCGTCTAAAAATCTCGGTGCTAGACGGTCAAAACAAGACGTTGTTCCAGAGGTGCTGTTGCAACGTCCGTCTCGCCGGATCGATAGATTGTGAGATTTTTCGCCCTTCAGTACTAGACAGTTGATAGGAATACCAATATGAGAACTTGACGGTGCAGACGGTGCATTAGGTAAACACCAAACCATGTATGGTGCCGGACGTCCAAAAGGTGGTACCAGTGGGGGATTCAAAATGTAATGCCTTACATAATCAGGGTAAGGGGTAAAATGCAGGAAACCCAAAATATATTGCATATCTGCATCTATTTATGCATGTTTTATTATTAAAAATACATGATAGAACTAGAAATAGCCTTGTAATTTATTTAAAAGTATAAAAACACTTTTATTGATAAATTTGATTATAGTATTACTACTAATACTAACAAGAGACACAGAGATGAGAGGCATAGCATCTATGTACAATACTCTCATACTCAGGAGTAGCATATATAATACCAGACCGATATGCTTCGATAATTCTATCAGTAGGTGTAGCGATCCCTCTTCAGATGGTTAGTTCTTGGTGATGGGGAATGATACTTCTCTTCTCCTGTTTCTTTCCTTAGTCTTACGATAGCACTAGGCCTCTGCCTACATCACTGAGAGTACAAGACCTTTGTCTTCTATCAGGAATGCCTAATCGTAAGCTGTCTCTAACTCTTCTTCGTGAAGAACTTTCCTTGGCGTAATGATGACGTTGCAATAAAGATAAAGATTGTAAAGGTGTTTTATATTCGTTAAAGTAATAAGTAGGAAAAGTACTTAGAATTTAATCTAATTTTATTTAAACTCGTACTGCCAACACTGGCATACGAGGAGCCCCCGCTGGCACAGGGATACCGCTAACCAGTATACCACTAATCCTAAGCTAACTAAGTCTACGGCCCCGCACCTGCCATCCCTGAGTCATGCCCACACGAGAACTAATTACAAGGCTATCAAACAACCCAGCATCCACCCTGGTCCTAGTCCATAGCCCCTCTGGTATGAAGCCAACCAGCACTAAGCGTAGCCAAAGCTGAGCAAAAGACCAACCCGATCAGGTTCTTTGTTCAACAAACATAAAATCACTACCACCCGGTCTGAAAACCATCCTGCGAAACCTTCACCACAAAGGAAAACCAACAAACACACAAACTAAATCTACAGGTGACACAATGGCAGGGAGGAGACAACCTATATGTCCATCTCTCATACCCGCATGCCAGGCTGTCAACCCTATGAACCCACTTTACCGGTTGCCTCTGAAGAGCATACTGGTTAGGAGGACCTGTACCTACTGCCTGTCCCCCAACCAAAATAACACAAACATAAGAAATACATAGAGGTAGTAACAGACCAAAAAAGACCAGTAGGGCCTATCTCCTACCTGTGGTGCCATGCCCCTTCCTGCTAAACCTGTAGCTCAACCAAAGAAACCAAACAAACTCCACAAAATCCAGCGCGCAAGACCTAAACAAGTCCAACCAGGTAGTCACAACCCACTATCCGCACAGGTGGCCATCAGCCAGCCAGTCTATCGGGGAGCTTTGCAGCACTCGGCAGCTTTACCCAACAGCTCAGGCCGGACTGAAAACACTTAATTAGACCTCACCCAACCTAACACAGGCCCAACCAGTACTCGCAGTTGCCTCTCCCCCCCCAATCAGTCCCCTCCAAGCCCCACACACCAGACGCCACAGAGTCCATCCAGCCCCCCCAGCCCTTCAGATAGATCAACCATCCGACAGCCACAGGACAGCCTATACCTAGCCCAGTCAGGCAGCTACTGGTTTTCGCCACACTATCTGAACCATAGCCTTCAGCACCTTGTAACCGATGGGGGCCCACCAGCGGCAGCTGGGAGCCACAAAAGAGGCAGCACTAATACTGAAAAGTACCGGCACCAGCCACACCATCCAACCCAGTCGAACCAAAGTTTAACCAAGCTGGGAAAGAGTAGGCAGAGCCAGCTGAAGCCTGCCCCACAGGTCTGGCAATTAGTACAGACAGAACGACGGGCAAGAGGCGCCCCCAACTAACGCGACATGAAGGGAGAGGGCGAGCGAACAGAAGCAGACAAACAGAAGGTAGGCCCCACTTGCAATGGGTGAAGCCGCCAACCACAATTCACAACCGAACCACCTAAACACACAGACAATACGAGTATCTGGCAGCTAATTGTCTCACACCACTCCAGGCAGCAATAAAAAACCATACCAGGTGGTAATACTTTTCAGGGTTAAAGCCATACCTACCGAAGCGAGGAGGAGATTCCTGACTAAACCACCGTACATGCCACAAGGATGAGAACTCCAAGGGAATAGTGATAAACAATATTGTAGGATTCTGACTGTAGAAATGAAAACATAACGAGGAGTGACCGGGTGGGTACCGCCCTGCTACCTGAGGAATGATGTAGCTGGTACGACAAGTTGATACTTGGGAAGGTTATCAGTCTAACTCAAGGGCGTTATGTATCATGAGAACTAAGGACTCTGTTAAAACCCAACAAGAAACATGACATGGCCCAAAGAACGACATGGGTGATTCCCCCAAACACAACGTTCAATCCCCCTCAATCGAATGTGAAACCTGCGAGTAGATGATAGACAGGAAGCCAAAGATATTTTACCGAAAGGGACTCATAAGCGACCGTGATGAATAGCTTGAAGTACCAATATTGTGAGATAGCCAGCAGGTAACGAAACGAGAAGCAAACAAGTAGTCCGCCACACAACGCCAACAGGCCTCAACACCAAGAACCCCAGGAACTACTGAGCGAACTCAGATATCTCCCCCAGAATTTAAGGCATCAAGGCCCATCGTAGGTGCGAAAGAAACTCTCGGGGTGAAGTAATGGCAAGGACGAGGAAAAGTAGTTAGAACAAAGTGTGAAGAACCTATCCTCCTCAGCCACATCGGCCTCCTTATATAGTATTCTTCCCGCCCGTAGTCATGTGACCAAAAGTGGTCACATGTGCGAAACTAAATTATAACAAACTAATCATGTGACCAAAGTGGTCACATACTCAAAACTCATGACCTCATAGCAAGGTCATGTGCGAAAACTCATAAACTAATCATAACACAATAAATAAGTTATATGACTTGAGTGAGTCATATGCGTAAAACCCATGACATCATAACAAGGTCATGTGCAAAACATAAATCATATATGCCAAACATACCCGCAAGGCACACTCGCAAGGCATACTTGTCAGGCGTACATCTCATAACTCATAATCAAGTCATATACGCAACACAACAAATCATAATATAGTAAGTCATATGACTCAAATGAGTCATATGCGTGAAACAATAACATACCTATGACTCATAATCATGAGTTATGTGAAAACCTTTTCCGTGCCAAGCCACGTTCATGACAGTACGGGCCCAGTACTTTCAAATCAACTTCTTTGACACACTAGCTAATACCTCAGGAACCAACCACTTCAATGACTCAAAGTCATACTCACATCTCTCACGGATGTAATGCTTGGCAGCACTCCAGAAATATTCTATGTAGTTAATTTCACAGTAGAATGCAGGAAAATAAATTCCATGGCCAGCTTTTATAATTGCCTCTTCAGTTTGGTTTTTCTGACTTTGAAAATCAGGTTAGACTGCAAGGAGGGCACGTGCATAGCAGCTTCCTCCACTCAGATACTGTGGATTTGGCTTTGTTGATTTACCAGTTGAAGATTTGATGGTACATTGTGTAAGAAAGTATCTATTTACTGACCATAGGCCTCACTCAAGCAATACTTGTCGCAGGCCCTTGGATGTTCCATCTGGAAGGTTAAGGACTGTATATAGCTCACTTTTTGGATGATTGGCATTAGCAACATCTGTGTCTTACATTGACTTAGTGTTCTTCCCTCCTGGCTCTAAATTCATTTTTGATACAGGAAGAGTATCATTGGCAAACTTGTAATAATTGCAGGAATTGTTGAAGACAAAAAGGGCTTTACATCCAGGGAATTGTACCTCACAGGCTGGAATAGCTTTGTCAATCACCTGGCTGAGTAGCCGGTCACCAGTCCACCAACTATTCCCACCACACTTCATAATCTCACAGGCATTGCCATCTTTCAAACATCTAATAGGTCTAGTAATGTCAGACACATGCAATCTTTGGCCTTTTCCTTTCTTTCTCAATAGTTGATGCTCAGTATGGATCCAGATAAAATGTCTCCCATTGTCCAAATTAAAAGTACACTCATCTTGAGTGATCAAGATTAAAGGCTGTCCTTCACCGTTAAGTTGGAGTTGATGCGGAATTTCCTGAAGGCGTTCATCCCAGTGAAGAAATTAATATTAATATGGTTCTATCCAAGGTAGAAACACATTATCCTGATGGTTCTTAATATCTGCTCGCTTATATCCATCGTTATAGACTTTTTTTGTATTTAAACTTCAATTTGCATAACTATCTCCTTGCAGTTCTGGAACCAATAGTTTTCTCAACCTCTCGAGTAAATGTATTCGCTGACCAGTTTATAATATCCTCATCAGTTGGTGCCTGATGCCAGTGGGCTACAACTGCCTTGGCCAATCTATATGAGGTCAACTCTGTTTATTCCTTATTAGCTAATTTGACCAACTAAATACCAAATAAATATGTAACATAGAATGGACTTGACTTACTCTCTCCTACTTGAAGGATATATTGACACATAGCCAGCATTGTTTCTGAATCTTCCAATAATGTTACCACTCTGCATTTTCTGCTGCAATGTGGTTCAGATATAAGTTGCTTTTGAACGCAGGAGACCTCATGAGCCATGATACAATTTTGAACCTTTCTTCCCTATCCACTATCTTCTACAACTCTTTGTACAAGCTGTTTGCATATCAGTAGTCTGGTTGATGCTCCTGTAAACATATCAGTACCCCGGAGTGCCTTTTCCTTATTCTGTATTTGCAGTTTGAGGAAAGGATAAACTTTGTAATGATATTTGAAATATAGTCCAGTGGGTCAGTTTTCAAGTTTCCCCTTATGGTTGGAAACTTTACACTGCATCACTCGATATACTGCCTTGAGGATAGATAAGTATTATAGACATGGTTTGTCAATAAACATTTGACGTCGAGGTCAACTCTTATAATCTAGCTGTAATTCTGTATCCAGTTAACTTTCTTCACTTTCCTGCATGACAGGAGGAACAGGCTCTTGGTAAGACATCGCAGGTAAAACTGGCACTAGAACTTGTTGAACTTTGTTGACAGCTTTCTTTTTGGAGGATTTACGGACACGAAGGGCATTTGCTGTTGATTCGTTATCCTGAATCTCTCCATTCTATTTGGTTCAACTATTAGTCTTTTCTCATCATATATGTGTTAATTTTGGCTGATTTAAAGAATTATGAACCTCTAAATGAGCTTGCTTTTGCTTTTCTCTGCAGGCTCTGGATTTGAGAGTATAGGGGTTTGTTGAGGAAGGAAGTGAGCGAGATTTTGACTTTGCAATAGGCGGTACAAATTGGTTGAGTTGGATTGATAAAGACATATTGGCTGCATTTAGGCAGAATAAAGTGAGTGTCTTAGACAATGAAGGCTTCTGGAAGTAAACAAAAGATCTTTGTTTTAGATATTATGAAAATTATAGACAATACTAGATGACTAATATAAAATAATTAAAAAAAAATAAGTAAACCAGCACTGTGACTCGAACTTCAGACCTCTTTGGTTAAATTTCTTGGCATCCACCCCTGACCCTGATTATATAAGGCATTACATTTTGAATCTCCCACTGGTACCCCTTTTGGACGTCCGCCACCATACTCGTGCCACGGTTGCTCCTGGCTTACCTGGGAGGCCGGGAAAGGGGGATGATTATCTCTGGGAATCTTTTATCAAGATACCGGTGTCGGTGCTTGTGTTCGAGGAGGCTCGGGAGAATTTCAAAGGTCGACTACCCGAGCATGTACTCGAGCACTTGCTGAGCGCCGTGCCGGAGTGCCACACATTGCACTCGGAGGAAGGTGTCGTTCTCGAAAAGGTGTCCGGGACCTGCTCCGGGAAGAGCTGCACGGTAGGGCAGCCAATGTTAAACATCAGTTTGATATATCGACTTCTTGGCGGCGGTTTCTGACCAGTTGTTTAAGATGAGCGGGTCGATCATGTCGATGAGAGAACTTCTGTGTTGGTGCGGGAGCAGTGGCAGGTGGCCGTGGGATACGGGTTATCTGTGGTGTGAAACACAGTATGATATGATACCAGGACAAAACGTTTTGCTGACCCCGGGTTTTACACCAAAAATGGACATTTTCAAACAGTCAATTCCCAACACTACCTTCATGAAAACACTTTAAATGCTTCCACCAGCCAGATAATTACTATGTATTTAAACCTAGAAGAGCAGAACTGCAGGGGATCAAAACTGTGTCCATAGTTTACAATTGTGTTGATCACTCTGAAAGCGACCTAAATTTTTGTATGGGGTGACACAAAAAGGTACACGGCAACCAAATACCTCAGACTAAACAACATTCCCTCCACTTTATTACCATAATTAAAAATTCTGTAATTTCCTCCATGTTTTCTACAGGCTTGCCAATGCACTGCTGAATTTTGGCAAATTCTCATTGGCATTGGGCTGTGGGAGAGGGTAGTGAAGGTTGATTGATACTTTTGGTGTAAAAAGGGCAAACCGCGAAACGTTTGTCCTAGTACTCGTACTTTAAGTTGGAAGTGTACAAGTACTGTACTTGTACTGTAGGATATCGAGTTGATGCCGTAGGGTATGATACCGAAATTCATAATGATAGCTCGATGAGGCACATACTAGGGGGTCAAGTGGACCGAGACCTCGCCATTAGGGAGCAAGTATAGTGGGGGGTTCTAAAGCTCTGAAGAATACCGGCACTGTACGCATGTTGAATGATGTTCGCCGAAGATTCCTAGAGTGAAAGAGTTTGAAGCTTGCTAACATAAGTCATGGTAACCATCAGGAAGATCAAGATTTGGAGCATGCGGCTCTTCTACATTCGATGGCAATAGAAAGAGCCGGCAACCGGTAAATTAATTCAGCCTAAGTCAATTCCGTTCGGATGCCGTACCCGAGTATGATAGGGAAAATTTGTCCGGGATTCGATGTACGAGTAGTTGTGCTGCACTCGTACAGACGCTGATCTTTCAGCGAGACAGGAATTGAAACGGCCAACGTGTCTCAGAAGGGGCTTCCCACTGGCTATCACGCTTGAGTGAGAGGGATGGCAAGAAATTTGCACCGAGCCGGCAAACAATGACGCAGTGCCATTCTCGATGCCGTATTCTACGCTGTACCATGGTATGAACGGGTTCTTCACACGGAGACGGTATTTACCGTAGAACGCCGCACATTTGAGAATGAAGAGAGTGGAGCAACCAGGAGCGTTGATATCGGTTGAAAATCAAGTTCTCACCACCTTGTTGAACTTCCAACTCTCATTTCCTCTCTCGCCCCTCCCCCCTTTTCCGTCATTCCATCGTATTTGTCCACTCGGTTCAAATCCATCATTTCCAAGCTCTAAGCTACTACTATACTCGTAAAGCCAAATTCTGTTTTTTGGCGTTGGCGTGATCCGTACTATCCTACCTGCCCCTTTACACCAACTAACTTACCGACACAAGATAATACGGTACGGCACTCCTTTTATTTTTATTTTTTATTCTCGCCTTTCTCTGCCACGGTAAAATAGACTTCCTTTCTCCTATCGAATCCATTCGAAAAAAAAGATAAGATGTCATCGACATCCGACTCCACAAACAACAATAAACGCAAAAGGATAGGTTCGCGAAGTGACCCCGATATTCTAGTGGAAGTCCATCAACCGACATCAGGTGAAGAGGCCGATGCAGAGCTTTCCTACGATTCGGCTCCTACTGCTGGAGTGAACGCTGCGGTATCATCTCCATCGAAGCTTCCTCTCGAAACCCAAGCAGCTAAACGAGCCAAGAGGCGCACGAGCATTGATATTAATGATGAAGGAGAAAGATCATCAACCACCGAAGGTAGTAGCACCATTGAGGAACGTGTCCGGGAAGGTGCTGGTAGGAAGAGGTCTCTCGGCACTCCCATGAGGACCGGCTCAAATTCGAGTATTAATAGTGTCGCCGGGGGTGGTGTCGCTCCTCCGCCCATGGTTCCCCCACAACAGGCCGGATCGTTGGCTCCTGCTGGATACTCAATGAACCCGCCACCGACCGATCGGCCGGTCAGGATTTATGCCGACGGTGTCTTTGATTTGTTCCATCTCGGGTGGGTACCGCAATGCTTCCATCCAGCCTTGTCGTGGTCGACAATTGGAGCTGACGTTATGCGCCACGAATAGGCACATGCGGCAGCTAGAGCAAGCGAAGAAAGCTTTCCCAAATACCTACCTTCTCGTCGGCATCCCAAATGATACCGAGACCCATAAGCGAAAAGGTCTTACAGTTCTCACGGACCAAGAACGGGCGGAGACGTTGCGACACTGCAAATGGGTGGATGAGGTCATCGAAAATGCACCCTGGAGTGTTAACCCAGAATTCCTTGCCGAACACTCGATCGACTATATTGCCCATGATGACGAGCCCTATGCGAGTGCTGATTCCGACGATATCTACCGTCCTTGTAAGGAGGCTGGAAAGTTTCTCGTTACCCAGAGAACCGACGGGATCTCCACGACGTACATCATTACTAAGTATAAAGCATTCTTCTCTGGTTGCGATGCGGGCCTGGTAAAAGCCCCATGTGAGGAGACTACCGGTAGGCTAATTACAAGCGGTGATTACCATATCATTTGAATCTAGGATCGTGCGGGATTACGAAAAATATATTATGCGACAGCTTCGTCGTGGTACCAGCCGCCAGGAACTCAATGTCTCTTGGCTGAAGAAGAACGAACTAGATTTAAAACGACATGTCACAGAACTTCGGGAGACCATCAAGAATAACTGGTCAACCACCGGCCGGGAACTGAGGGACGAATTCCGTAACTACTGGGCCCCCTCGCCCAGACCGTCTTCACCCTACCAATTCGGGGCCTCTAATGGTGGTTCGAAGGACACCCTTTCACCACAGCATGAGAGGAATAATCCAACGTTGATGCATCTTGAGCCTCCTTCCCGGCCCCAGTCACCTCATACCGAGTTTGCCAATGGGTATTCATTGGGCCTTATCGGAGGTGTTAGATCTTGGGTGGGTCGAGCTATTTGAATTTTCAACCCGTACGCAACTGACATGCAGTTTCTGAGCCTTTAGATGCGATCAAGAGCAACTCCCCGTGGATCAATGGCAGCTTCAGAAGCCTCCTCTGACGACGAAGACGTAGAAAGCCCGGATGAGGGGAAATCGAAGAATGGCGAGGAAGATCTCATTCAGAGCGAATTGAACAGGGTGGTTGGCAATAATGTAACCATCACTGCCGATAAGGCCTCTCCAAGACCCTAGGCTTATCGGGTAATCGGCCGTTCGCTCGAGTTTTCAGCCCTCCTTTCGGCAGCTTCCCGTTTCTGCGTGATCCCCGACCCGGGAATTCGTCTCTAAAAAATACTATGGGCTCTGGCTCGCCCTTTGCTAGAGGCATACTCCTTTCTAGTTTTTCTTTCTTTTGCAGTGATTCTCTCTTTGCCGATCCTTATCTCCTTTCTGGGCATTCATGGTGTCAATTCCTTGTTTGGGTTTTTGCCTTCTGTGGTGCATTTCCTAAGGTATATGGTATTTATAAATTGCTATCATAATATCCCCATATCGCTCTTCAATAAACTATCTACCGTAGTTAAAATTGTTTCGCTATGTTGTGTGTGTGTGCCGTATAGCCCTGGGGGTAAGGAGGACTTTTTTTGTCCCATCAAAACCTAGTATGCGAGAAACCTGTCAAGTCCGCGAGAAATCAGAGAGACGTCCATAAAAATTAAAACCAAGTATCAAACCCCATGTAAAGCCAACCCATTATAATAATATCTGGCCGTCCAGTCACCGGATAGAAGTCCCATCAGAATCCGTACCCCCCGCCCAAATGCCGCGACTCTCCATCTCAACACTAGCCATAGCCTCAGCAACCACCTCCAATCTCCTCGTGACGTCCTGGACGGACCGGGCGACACGAGCGAAGTGCTCATCGTTAGCCAAGCGCCTCTTGCGGGCAAGCAATATATCCCCCTCAGTCTCCAACATATCACCCCCCTCTTCTCCCCCAGCAGCAGAACCAGCTACGCCCTTCCCCTTCCCAGCATCCCTCCCAAAAGCCCCCCTACCAAACTCCACATGCTCCCCATCCAGCCCTGCCCCCCCCTCCTCCTCTTCACTCCTCATCCAAGCCTGCGCAAGCGCGATTTGCGCCGCGCGCAATTCCTCCAGGCACTTTGCGTGCGAGGAGCCGAACACGTGATCCGCCGAGAGCTCGACTTCTTGTAGTTTTTGCTGCATCTCCGCCCACATCTTTTCGTGCGCATCGCCACTCCCTCCGCCCCCGGATGTGGAGGAGGAAGAAGACGTTTTCACGCGGAACATGGGTGCGTCGGGGACGTCTCTTGCTGCTGCAGTTGCAGAAGCAGCAGCGGGTGTGGGGGAGGGGGAGGAGGATTTGCCGGGGTTGTTATTGCTGTCGCCGTCGTAACTGTGTAGGATACCACTGGGCAGTAGTGGTGTCGTAGCGATGTGCGTCGCTGAAGTTATCGCCGAAGGCAATGAGATGTCCGATGTGCGTCGGTAGGGGTTCCTCGGCGATGGCGATGGTGACGATGGTGATGATGATGACGGGAGTGGCGGGAAGAGCGATTTTCTGCCGGGTGATTTGGGAGCTGTGTTTTGTTGTGCTTGTGCGTTTTGGGATGGGGATGGGGATGGGGGTGTAGGCGTCGCGGGCTTGCGGCGGAAGCGGGGGGATGAGGACATTTTGAATGGAGGTTGGAGAGTTGGGCCTCGTGGGTGGGTGTATGGGTGTTGGGATTGGCTGTGCTGTGTGCTATTGCGGGGTAGGGTGGGAGGTGGACGGGTGAAGATTTGCCCACTGGAGTGTTGTGCTGATTAGTCTCTCGCTTACTCCCTCGCTCGTATGATGATGGGGCGGTGCTGTGGTGTGGTGAGAAGGAAGGAAGGAAAGGGCAAAAGCGCCATCGGATACGATACGAGCGTTAACCAACAATATCTTGGCATTTATGCCTTTCTAGCACGTGCATGCGCGTTATGCACTCGATATGAGTCCACGTTACAGGGACCACAGGAAGACATGTAATATCACTCGGCGAAGTTGTGCCAAGTGTAGTGTTTTGTTTTTTGTTGTTGTTTTTCTCCCCTGGGAGGAATGGCTTCCGGGACGGATATTCGGTGGCACCGAGGTTCTGAGGGTCTGCTCTTCGGCATGATAGGGTTTATCGGGTTCGGGGGATTCGCGGTCTGCTGAAGCTCCGATGTCGTGGCGGGTGGGATTTGCGGGTGAGATGCGGTTGGTCGGCTGTGGGTGAGGGGGAATTCCCATTGCATAGGAACGGATGGAGGGATGCGGGCATTATCGTACTTTCAGATAGGAGTATGGTGGTATTGGAGCGGGCTCGCTCAATGCAATGCATGAGCTCACATCTGCTGAACAGTCGCGACAAGGTGCCGACCGGACACTAGGGAAAATATTTACCCACTACGGGTTTATAAATGTCTTCAGTAGTATCAATAAAACATCAATTATTTACACCTAACACCCCATTCTTGCACCTTTTTCTCAATCAAAACCCTAACCCCACAAGGCGCACCGTCTTTCATCCCATTGATATTTTTCCGCTCCTATCGTTCCCATTACTCCCTGGCGGGCCCCACCGCTTCCTCCTCGGTTTCCACGATCATTCCTAGTAGGCATCCTGGATTGTTGTGGTAGTACCAGGGGTGGGAGATGGGTCAGGTCGCAATGATGTTACAATGTGGTTGCAATCCCACCACAATCTCCCTTGGCTGCCACGAATCTAATTCCGACATTGTCTTCCCCGGTCACTGCCTTGTCGCGATTGTACGTCCGTTTACCGGTATGAAATCCAATCCACTCATCCCTCCTCCTCTCCCTCCTCTCCGGTGTTTCCCAATCCATCCCAACGCCTTCTCCTCCAAAATTCTCTCCTTCCTCGCCTCCTCCACATCAGCCACATCCCTGCACACCCACTCCTCCAAAACCCCCACAAACTCCACCCCCTTCCCCGCGTCCAGCAACTCCCCGCTCCCAAGCACCGTCCGGACAAACACCCAAATGCTCTCGTGGCCCCGCGCAATCCCGTGCGCGAACTGCATGCTCTTTTCCACAATATCCGCCAATTGTGCCCGGAACGAGTACGGGTTTGGGTGCTCTAGTGTCTGAAAGAACAAGAACTGCAGGAACGACCACACGCTGGTGTCCGACACGTGGCAGAGGGCAAAGTTCGCCGTACGCTCGAGGACGTATGGGAGCTGAGGGCCGGATGGGGAACGCGGGAGGAAGAATTTGGTGGCGAAGCGGGCGTGGTTCCAGGCCTTCTCCATCGCTCAGTCATAGCTGTAGAATGAGATGAAGGAGGGGGAGGAAGGGGGGTCTCCTACGTAGTAATTCCTAGGGTGCACCTCCGCACTAGCTTCCACAACCGCCAATTCCGCCTCGATCCCTTCTTCCAAAACCCCGAACCTCTCGGTCAACCACCGCCTGTAACTCCATAGCAACGGGCTCTTGTTGTGTTTGTTCAACGGGGACGTCAGGAAGCTCTCTATTAGTCTGATTTCGTCCCGACCGCTATTGGCGCCTTTGCCCAGGATGATCCTCCTACGGGCGTTGACTGCAGAAAGGTTTTCCGATGCGACGAGCAGTAGTACTAGGGTCGAATCTAGAATGTCCTGCTCCGTAGCGCTCGGGGATGAGAAGGTCGGGTGTGCAGTCTGAAAGGCTTGCAAAAGCAGGGGTTTTGGGATGGCGATGTTTGTGACAGAGGTTAGTATTGTGGATGGGGCATCTAGTTGGGTTGGGTGGAATTCAATGTGCAGTCTTGTGCCCGGGTTGGAGTTGAAGAAGGCTGTCAGTTGGGTGTATGCTGGAGGTGGGGTTGGGATTGGGCTTGCCATTGTAGTTGGGGAGGGTGAATGGGGTTGGTCGGTTGGCTGGTTGATCGATAGGGGCTGGGGAGGGTTGACTTGATACGGGCACAACACTCAGGTATTGCTGTAGTCTCCATAGGGAAAGGCTTGGTTCTACTGACTTCTGTTGTTGGAATGGGATTATGAGATGGCTCTGCAATGGGTGGGGTTTTGTGTAACTATGATACCGGTACTACCGGTACTCGAGTATGATACTTTCATCTGTACGGTATCATACTCTATCATAGGACCCGTACTCAAATATACACGCACAAACGCCATTCCAGCGGTGCTGTAATACCGGTAGTCACATGATTTCTATTGCCGTAAACGGAGCAGGGGTATCATAACGCCCTCATATCTCCCATTTACTTGTAAACAGAGTCCGAATATACACCTTGCGCCATTCCATAACCAAGGCTGCTGCTTTCGGTTCAATCACCTCCAAGTGCTTGTGGTTCCTTGCAGGAAAGGTCAGAAGAGTACCGGTATCATACAGCACTCGAGGAAGTCGTACTGTGCTCGTGAGGGGGTTCAAGTGTCATAATATATCCAGGTTACCCTTGGTGGAACACGCTCCTAACATACCGGTAACTCCTGCATCCTAAGCGAACACTCCATGTCAAACCCGACAGCCCGAAACCAACCCACCCCTGAGCTGAGCCCCTTCCAAACCACGTGAAACAACTCCTTTGTCGCAGTGGGCTTAAGCGGCATGTTCGAGTACAATGCGGTGCAAGTACTCGTGCTCGTACTGGCAGTGTGCTGGTACTTGTGTGTGTGTAAGAAGGAGCATCTCGAAACCGTTCGAGTATCTTAATTTCCGTTGCCCGATTTGTTCCCTTCACTACCGCGCAGTTGTCATCGCTACCCGTCCCACCCAACTGGGGAAAGAAAGAAAGAAAACTATGCACATCTCATCCCATTCAAGTATCGGTACCGGTATAAGAACGAGAAGAAGAAACGGGAGGAAATAGGAAAAAAGAAGGGACGTGCAAAAATTATTAACACATACGATCCAGCATATTGAGCGAAACCCATTCCTTGTATCTTTGTATGAAAAGAGAAAAAATAAAAAGATTGGGTCGAAGGAAAAAAAAAAAAAAACCTCTGAAAGATATGTCTATAATACAGTATCCCCAAGAAGCGGAAAAGGAAGAAAATAATAATAATTCATTACCCCAAACATTTCATCCCCAAGACCTCGGATCCAACCCTCGCACTGTGTCCGTCTTTATTCGACTCTCTTGAATGGTTAAAAAAAATAGGACATAAATGGGATTTGAATGTTTCCCTCCCTCCCCCAACGTCCATATAGACAAAGAAGAACTCCACATGGAATATAAATTAAAGCCTGTAACAAGCGTATTTTGGGCAGACAAAAATTGAGAAAAAAGAAAAAAGAAAATGAGGAATGAGAAATTGTCGGCGGGAGCGTTTACCAAGGGGCCGGAAGAGATCCTGGCGATTCGTTAATATACGGTGGAAAACAATCAAGTTGTAGAGTGATATTTACCTCCCATGCCACCATAGGCTCCGATACCGTCCCCAGCAGGGTAAGCACCAACACCACAGAAGCAAGCGCAGCTGCAAGCGGCACCAGAGGCACCTTGGTTCCATCCGGTGACGATTGGTGCAGCAGCAGATTTTGTGGCCACAGCTCCGCCATTAGCACTGGTGGTGACGCCAGCGGAGGTCTCACCAATGAGGGTGACAGTGCTGGAGACGCCAGACACCGTGGCTGCGGCACCGGTGGTTGTTGTGGCGGTTCCATTGATCCTGATGGCATTGGCCTTGAAGGTGTCGAAGGATTTCTCCGCAGTTGGGTTGATGGCGAAGACCATTCCCCTTCCGCAATGGTTACCGTTTCTCTGCTTGCAGTACCACCCTGGTTTCATTAGTATCCCGAATGTCTGAAGCGGGATCGATAGGGGGTCTTACAGGTCGGTTCCTTGGCAGTAACGGTGTACTTAAATGTAGGAGCAGGGCTCACAGTGTTGTTGGGGTTGGGCAGGAAGTTGGAGTCAAAAGCGTCCGGGGACAGCTTGTTACAAGGCTTGTCGAAGCTCGACTGAGTAACAGTATGGTTCTGGCTCATGAAGATGAATTGAACGACATCATTGACCTGCGCCATTACCTGATTAGGAGTATAGATATTTCCCACCATACCACCAACGGTGACCTATCCAACATCAGTACAGTTGTTCAGGGCAAAGCCGCTAGGCATCGTCCCCACTGGAGAGGATGGATTGAACTCACGGTATGTGTCATTGGACCAGCAGACGCGACTGGAGGAGCCATACTGGCAACGTATTTGGCCTTGTCTGTTACCGTAGCTGGCGGGGCCGTTGTGTAAATCCCAGCAGGAGCAGAAGTTTGCGCCAACGCAGGGTATGACACTGCAGAACTAGAAGGCATAGCATGCACCATACCGGTTCCAGGCACCGACGCACCATGGTTGGTGGCCAAAGCACCACCGATAGCAGAGAGGAGTGAAATTGCTGAAGAGTGTCTCATTTTCGCTGATTTTTCTTATTTTCTTTCGAAATTGTGCTTCGATGTAAGCCAGAATATTCCAGTAGATATACTTAGGTTTCTTCAAGTAATGACCGATTGAACGCCGCTCAGCGGGAAAAGCGAAAGTCGTTAAAAAAAAGACGAAAGAAAAAGGGAATGTCTTGCTTGCAAGAGAGGGTATAATTTGCACTAGGAGAGTATATTGAGAGGGTATGCAAGAAGATGTCGAGGCCCTGCTCGTGGTGAAAGGAAGGAGAAACTAAAGGGGGTGCTTAACGGAAGAAAAAAACGACTCGGTCCAAATTTAGTGAGCGGGCGAGATGGAGAGAGCGAGAAGTGTGAGATGGGGCGAGGGGGTTTGTGTTTATATTCCAAATTACACTCCTGGTGCCAAGGGAGGGGATACAGTCGAAAAGGATAGAAAAATGTTTTGTGGGAGCACAACATCGGCCAGTACACTCAGTCCCTCAGTTCCTTAGAGGAAAGCCTCTCTGCAGGTACCACCATGCCTGATCCTACCCTATATCGACATCTCCAACAGCGTCGTCGTCATACAAAGTCAAGGAACAGAAGTGAAAAACGTGAAAGAAAAAAAAGAATAGGTAAGGGGGGGCGCATGTCCTGTTGCAGTACTTTCCCTTCCTGGTAGAGAGGTTGAGGCCATATTCAGGAGGTATTGGTTGAATATAGACGGGATGCTGGTACTCGAGTACCACCAAAAAAGACTCTCTACGGGGTTTACCAAAGTTGCCTCCCCTTGTGGTGGTGGGGAGGGGCGTTGTTGGTGTCTGGAGAAGTGTGTCAGAAGGCTTAAGAGCGTTTGAGTTGGGCGCCAACCCCCAAGGGGTTTAGACTACGACTTCTTGGTCTAGCAACTTTTTACCCATCGTGGCTTACCTACCGGTACAGGTACAAGTGCTTCACCGGGATAAGGACTTTTGCCATGGCTACCGCCTTCTTTCAGGTACTTTGCACGGTGCTAGATTCCATAAGAAACTCCTTCCTACGTATCTCGTCTCATCACCCTGTCCTGTCACTTTTGCTAGAGCTCTCTTCTCCTGCACCCTAAACCCAAATTTTGTCGAAGGATGGATGGAAAGGCTGGGTCAGTGGAGTCTCCTATTCTACTCTCCTACCATGGCCGGACATCAACTCAAGTCTCGACACACCCTTGTACGAGTACATCTCTTCTATCCCGCTCCCACCCCCACCCCCACCTTATATTCGCTTCCATATCTTGGCCATTATGGTCAAGGAAGAATAAAAAAGAGACAAAAACTTCATTGAACAAACTTCTAAGCCTATCAACTTGTCTAGGTAGGTATCCAAGCATACTCTACACGAACCCCTTTCCCCCGTCTAATTAAAGAACCTTGCCCCGTCCTTCTGAGATAAGGTATCTACAAGTATTCATGTTCGAGTACCGGTATGCTACCGAGTGTACGAGTATTGCACGATTCATTCCTCAATTGCTTCAGTTCTTACCATGCTGCCGCTGCTGCTGCCCTTCATACAACCCGGTATAATAACCAGCATAATACCAAGACATCATGAGATTACGCAAAACTTCATTCTCTAACAAACCGAGATATTAGCACCGAATTCATGAGGGGGGAAGATAGGAGAATCTATAGGTGCCAAACTTTATATGGCATCAAATAGGGAAGTAGATCGGTTGCTCACCTGCCCCTCCGATAATGGTTTGTGGAATCGGTGGTAGTCCAGGTGGGGGCACTGTTTGACTTGGTAAGCCGTTGATTCCTTGCTCTTCTCCGTGGACGGGATTCTGCTCGTGATCGCTAGCGACTGGGCCCTGAACACCCTGCTTCTGTTTTGTCAGCTTCCAGGTTCCAAACAATCAAGACCTTCTGACGCTTGCATACTGTCAGCACCCCCCTTCCTTCCCCAGCCCTCTGATCTTCCATTAAGGTGTCTACATTTTTGACACCCGGGACTTCCACGTGTGGCAGCACAGCACCCTGACCCACCCGGCCATCCTCTTGGTGTGGTGGATTTGCAACCCCGGTATCCTTTTCACCACTGTTGCCTGTCCCCCTGTCAACATTGGTAACGGGTCCTTCAGGCATGAGGGAAGGGGGGTAAGCAAAGGTATGTATGAACTCACTGATCAGAAGGTGTAGCATCCGGCATTTCCGTCTCCCCCAAAGCTTCCTGAAGGACCTTGTTCACGTCACCGCCAGTGGCTTCGATGCTGTGGTATTTCTAACGTGCTCAAACATTGATCAGCCCGTGCGCTCTTTCTTCTTCTCTTCCCTCGTTTCTCATGCACAAGGATTTTGCGCGGAAAATTAACTAGCCAGGTATTTGCTCGGGTATCAAGAAAGACGCTGAAACTCACTTTGTATTCTTGGAGTGCTTCGTCCCACGTATTGACAAGAATAGAATCATCCCAGATCTCTTCGTGCGTAAGCTGTTCGCTAGAGGACGCCATGTTGGAGATATCCTAACGTGTAGCTATCAGCCTTTTGTTAAAGAATTTTTCTGAGATATGGGTCGTTGGTTGTTAGAAAGCTGGAGCGTGCGCTCATCTAGCTACCAGCAACTTGACTACCGTAGCGGAGGAACAAACCCTCTAAACTTAAAGAGCCTCAGCGTTGCCAAGGAGCGGCTAAATACCTGTATATCCATGCTCGCCAAGCTAACGTGACGGCCGTTTGTGGGCCTCGAATTGTTTTTTTTATTTTATTTCCTTCAACCAACCACCATCTGAACCCCCCACATCTCCAGCGGAGAAGAAAAACATCTATCATACCAACTACAATGTACATCGCCCAAATTCAAACCACTCTTCCATCATCATCGCTATTATTCTACTATTTCACCGAATTGGCACTTTCGAAGCTTTGACGAGCCGTTTCACCATGGTCGTGGAAGTCAAAAAGTTTTTATTGAAGCCTAGACTAAACGTCTCACCTTTCTCCAAAAGGGCAGAAGGTAGGCCTCTCCAGTATCTGGCGACGATGATCAGCGGCTCGCCGTATGGGTCGTTGCCTCGACGTGAGAGATACATATCATTGTATGGAATAGGAAAATTATTAGCTACGATGCTCAGCTGCTCAGTTTTATAGTTTATAGAATTGCATAATTGAGTTTCACCTCTCACTTGATAATATCTAAGTAAATTGTAAACATGAAGCGCTAATTAACCAGCTATCTCTATCCGCTCTCATATCATTGCCGTTCTATTGTGATCTAGATATTCGGGACCCATGCTTCTTCGCACCCCGCCAAAGACACTGGTGAGAATACCGGTATATGATCGACAAGACGGAAAAAAAAACTTTGAAGAACACTGGCGTCGCAACCCCCATCATCCATACGGAAGCCCCTAGACAAACTCCTTCGCTACCTCATGAGTCTCGACTGGCCTGGAATACCAGCTAGAAATTGAATAGCTGGGCTGCCCGGAGTGGCCGGGACGAGTGCTGCTAACAGAAGCGGACCTGGTGATGATAGTTTCCTGGCTTCTATTGGACTCATGACTTCTAGCCGAATATGATCTTGCGGGTATGGTGATTGGAACGGAACAGCTACCATTGTTAGCGAGATTGAAACTCGGCCGGTACTGCTTCTGTTGGCGATCCTGTTCACGGGCCTTCAGGAGACGACGGGACCGGGCCATGCGTGCAGTAGTATGGGTTAAGGAGTCACCATAGACGTATGACTATATCATTCTATTAGTCCTGTCCCATCCTTTCCTATCCACATATTAGGGAGGGGGGGGCAAACAGCGGTGAAGTTGACAACTCCGACAAAACTGACTATGATACCAGCAGACGTAAGGAGAGCATTAAACGAGTATCCGAGGTTCTGCTTTGATGCTGCCGTCTCATTCAGATTACCGAGCAGAAAAAATCCGACAACCACTTCAGCGATTCCAATCGTTACCAGCGAGGATTTAGATCCAAGCAAAGGCCAGCGCTTGTCGAAGTAAGGTTGGAGGACAGAGATCTCGGACATCACCAAAAATGCTATCTAATCTTCAGTAATTGCCTGGTGCCTTAAACTCGGGATTGGATCATTACCACAGAAGATGGAGAGAAACACATTGTTTATTGCGTCGAAGAAGTAAAACTATCTGGAATCAGTTTTATGGATTGACAAAGGGGGCCATGAAGTTCATACTTTCGTTACAACAAAGCTCTTTACCAGGCTAATGCTCGCGGCAACGATAGCCATCAACAGAGAGATCACGCTGCCGCAGCGGATGATATTGAGGATGTAAAATCCCCTAGGAAGAGGCTCCGTGGTAGTCATTTATTTGTAGGCTATTTCCTTTCGTTTTCTTTCCCGCTATTAAGAAGTTTTTTTTTTTTTATCTTGATTTTCGTTGTGTCATACACTCGTCTGCGTGTTTGTTAATACCATGAGCAGTAAAGGGAGCGTGTATTTAGACCGAGTGTCGTGGGTTGAAGTGCTGGAGAAACAAAAGGCAAATAATTGTTTAGTATGGTCCTAAACGTGGTATGATATCTCGCCCGCAGTTCAATGGCGGCAAGCTTCAATAGCGTTGCGAGGCCGAATGAGGGAACATTCGGGCGTTTGCTATATGATGAGGGAAACTCAATGGCGGTCCTGCTGATTGATGGTAGTTATTAAATTTCCGATAGATCTGATAGGACAGATATGGTGCACTTTTTTCCTTTTCTATTGAGGGTATCAAGCCCTTATCAATGGAAATTGCCCGCATAGCATCGTATCATATCATACTATGATATATTATGATACTTACCGTACGTGTCGGTTCGTGGGTTTGCGCTGTTGGGTAACGAGGTGGCATGGGATGGTACAGAGAATCATGAGATGGCACTCGGTATTAGAGGGAACTTTTATGTTGTAATAGTGGAAAATATGGAGGACAAAGGTGTACCAGAACCAATCTTATTTGTGGCCCTCTCTCTAGTTGGGATAAATGGGTCCCTTAAGTACATAAAATAAAAAAACTCTCTCAGAGATGTCATACTACGACATATAGACATTGCTGTGACACAACCGGTGGTACATAGGCTGGATGACGATATCCAACATTTCATAATGAGAATCTGACTAATTCATGCCCAGGTTTAACTGAAAGGAATGTCGGTGTGATAGTGTCAAAGCATTAAACATCAGAAGCTTCTAAGTCTACTCTAGTATAGGTGCTATTTGGGGTGCTAGCTCACACAATAATGGGTGGCAGGGAAAAGGTGGTATCGTACCCATTTCTCGTAGTATCATATACTCGAGTAGTATTATGATGCCTCACTAGAGGACACAACCTCAAGCAGAGTTAATTTCCACGATTTTACTAAAAACGTGCAAAAACATAATTACTTCGTCTTACTACCACTCTCATCTCGCTGCATCTCACCCCTACCATCGACTCTCCCTCGTATCCGTACGATGCCAAAAGTCTGATAGCGTGACCCCAAACCCTATTCCCTATCCACTCCAGCCACATTGAATATATTTAGTTAATCCGCCTGAGGCCATGCCATCCAACCCTAACCCTAGACAGCTACAACACATTTCTTCCCCATTCCTCGATCAGGGCTTCTTCCTAACAAGAAAGAACCCTTTTCTTCCCCCAACTCACATCTTGGAAAACCAACCAACCACAACATCACAAGCGACTCAGCTCAGAAATCAAGCAACCGGGAACCTTCCCTTCAGTAAAACAAACAAACATACGAAATCATGACTCGTGGAAACCAGGTAGGGCTCTTGAGTTGCGACGTGGTCAGTAGTGGTTGTGGTGGGAGAGGGAGGGCTAACCGTGGGGGACTGTCTGGCAGCGTGAGAGGGATCGCGCAAAGGCCCAGAAGGCTGCGGCGAGTCAGGTACGTTTACTTTACAAGGTTTCGCTTGAGATGGCCATCGTATCGTGGCTAACAAACATTTACAGAAAAGCAAGACAACCGTAGGACTTTCCTTCCTCTCTCCTTCCTGCGCCAGCCATCTTAGGCCTCCGCCCAAGCAATCCGGGTCGAAACACAAGGCGAAACTGACAAATCTCCCCACAAAACTAGAAATCTAAAGCCGAGATGCAAAGAGACAAAGACATGGTCGCCCAACTAATGCGCGAAAAGCAAAAGCAAGGTACCCCCCCCACCCGAGCAGTCCCGGGCACGCCTCCCCGCTAAACACATAGAAACACACACTCCGGAATGTCAAGTTACTAATTCACCGCAGCGGAGGAGAAGAAGAAAGCTGAGGCGTCAGGAGCGGGGAGCAGTAGCGGTAGCGGTAGTGGTGGTAGTGGTGGTGGTGGTGGTGGGGGCAGTTCGAAAAAGTAGGAACGATCTCACGTTAGGTTGGGTTGTATTACCGGTACCGGTATACTCGAAGGGAGAGGGGAAGTGGGAGCGGGACGAACGCTTTTTTCTCTCTTCTCATCTTTCCTTTTGCGGCATTGCGAACCCACGTTGCGCTGCGTTGCGGATGGGGGAACTGCTTTTGCAGGCGTGGAATTGTATTTTGAGGACGATCATATCTACTCGCTTTCGTTTCTTTTTACTCAGTGATTCACATCCTTTTGCTCGTTCCCCCCCCGATAAGGCAATTAGTGTTCTATGGGGAGGGTAATTCACCTTAGCTTTTGATTGAGGGTTGTTGTCTGATCATTGCCATAGCTTCCAATCCCCCCTCCTTATATATATATAGTGGCTTTGAGAAATGAAATGAAAAATAAAGTAAAAAGAGCACCTTTATATATTTATTTGTTCGTTTATCGGGAAAGCAACGTCCTAAGTTGTTGCAGCCTAAGAACCCCCTCATAGAGGATACACAGGACCAGAACGTGGAAATATTCCAAGGGATTACTTCAAAGTGACCAACTCCTCAGCACTGGTAGGGTGGATGGCAACGCAATTGTCGAAATCCTGAATCAAAACATCATTCATTAGCTCCCTTCACTCCTCCATCCAACACGTCCCACAATTGACATCACCATACCTGCTTGGTGGCCCCCATTTTCACCGCAACGCCAAATCCCTGGAGCATTTCCGCGCTTCCCAGACCGATGGTGTGCAACCCCACCACCTTCTCCTCGGGTCCGTGGCAGATGAGCTTGTAAGCCGTGGGGCCCTTATGATCGAGCATGGAGTAGTACATGGCGGTGAAAGTGGTCTTATAAATCTTTAGGCTGTCCTGGCCGTACTTCGCCACGGCCTCCGGCTGCGTGAGCCCAATCGCGCCAATTTCTGGGTGCCCGAAGACTACGGATGGGATGTTGGTGTAGTCCAGCTTGGCCTGTGCGAATTTTGGCCCACCGAAGAGGCGATCTGAGAGGCGGCGGCCAGCGGCGATGGCGACTACTATGCTCTTAGCACGAATGCGGGGAAGTGGGGGAAGTGGGGGAGGAGGGGGTACCAGGAGTCAGCTCAACCTTTCCCGAAACATCCCCCAACGAGAAAATGTTCGGCACGCTGGTGTTCTGAAAGTCATCCGCGATAACATGTCCCTTCTCATTCCTCCCAATCCCGACCTTGTCTAGCGCGAGGTCCCCGGTATTAGGCCTCCTCCCAATGGCCCAGAGCAGTGTATCCACGTCCTCGAGCACGCCCGTGCCATTACTATCCTCATAGTGCACCCTCAACTTACCCGTGCTCTCGTCCTTCTCGATCTTGGTCTGCTTCGAGCGGCGGTGGATCTTCATGCCCATATCTTCCTCATAGCGTTTTCCTATTACTTCCTGTACCATCGGGTCGAACGAGCGCAGGAAGTTGTCGTGGCGGATCATGAGATGTGTTTCGCTCGCGAGGGCTCGGAAGATGCCGGCAAGTTCCACGGCTATGTAGCCGGCGCCGACGAGGACGACCTTTTTGGGTTGCTGGTCGAGCTCGAAGAAGCCGTCGGAGGTAATGCCGTACTCTGCGCCCGGGATGTCGGTGGGGACGCTCGGGTATCCGCCTTCTTAAGTTTAGTAATTGGATGGCTTCTATGGAAAGCGAAGGAGTATACCGGTAGCGATTAGAATCTTGTCAGCACCGTATGTACTCTTTTCGCCATTATTGTGGGTAACCTCGACCTCATTCCTGGAAACGAAGCGGCCGTGGCCGGCAATATAGTCGACTTTGTCGTTCTTCAGGTTCCTCTCGTAAATCCCGTTCAGACGCTCAATGTATTTATCCCTCTTCGTCTTAAAGGTCGGCCAGTCAAAACCCTTCACGTCAATATCGAACCCATACCCCTTCGCTTCAGTCAATGTCTCCGCAATTGCCGCCGCATACCAGGAGACTTTCTTGGGCACACACCTGCCATCGCCCGAAACAAAAAGCGCATTAACACTGACCGGCGAATAGCGAGGATGACTATGAAAGGGAGGAAGGAAGGAAGCATACCCAACATTAACGCAAGTACCCCCTAACCTCCCACTCTCAATAATCCCAACCTTAGCACCGTACATGGCACTAGCCCTACGAGCGCTCGCGAGACCGCCACTGCCTCCGCCGATAACGAGGTAGTCGTACTGCTTTGACACGGGCGCCATCCTGCTCGAGGACAAGTGTCGGGATAGGTTGGTTAGGCGTGCAGATGTGGCCTGTGAAGAGAGACGTTTTAATGCTGTGGACGACAGTTTTGATGTTGGGATTTGCGCAGCTCGAGGGAGGTGCGCAGGAGCAATTTAAATAGAGCCTTTTCCCTTTTCCCGAGGGTGGTTGGATTGAATTGAATTTAGGTACAGTGGTGGGGAAACGGAGGGGTGTTCGAGTTTCTAGAAGTGCTATTAGGGCTCTAGCACGTGTGTGTGTGTTGGGGGGGGGGTGGTGGTGGTAAGAGCTGGTGGAAAGTACTGTATGATATTTTTTTTTCTTTCCTGCTTTAACCGTCGAATTTCGGGGAATTGTGTTTAATCGAGTACAGTACAGTGCTGCACATTAGACGCCGAGGGAATGAAGTGGGGGGGAGTATTTGTCACAGAAGACGGGATGCGTTCGGGAGGGGCCCTTCTCCCTCGCTGTTCTTGCACGACTACCATGTGGGCTAGGTAGATAAAAGCGAGGTTGCAATGGACTAGAACATTACCGGAGATATAAAGATTTGATCTTTTTCCTCCCATAGAGACGCTCATAAACCGCGGATGCGAAACACCGATGTCCTCATCTCGACACCTTCACTTCTCCTGGACGCTGGTGCTCACGATGAACTTGATTTCGGGAACCTCCAGGCACGTGGCCCGTCGATCTGGCAGTCTAGATCACTCTCCTTCTCTCGCTGTCAGCTTAGCGATGGCACAATTCACGCTCAATTGGGAAGCATCCAAAGTTGGTGATCGATGTCGGAGAGATTACTGATAAAAGAGGCACTTTCTCTCCCATTCCTCACGTCAGCCAAATGAAGGGCGGGGTCCCGATATTTGTCATTTCCCCGCTGTACTATAGTAACAGTGGTAGTATTTGTACCCGTCGGCGCGTCACGTTCCACAAACCGGCCGAGAGCCCTCTTACCGCACAATACCATAGTATTATGGTCTTGTTCTTCGGGTCCTGCATGATATCCTATCTTCTCCGGAGCTCAACCATTTGTCTGCATACTGGTACGATATAAGACCTAAGGCGCCTCAATACTGATCACTCCCGAACGGGGCGGTGTATATTAAGACCAAGACCGACATGTGCCCGCATAAATCGTAACTGCAAGCCAGACAACCCGGACTGGGCGCTATCCACCTATTCATCTAACCATTCCATACAAAGCATAAGAAGACACCCAAAGCGCCAGTCCTCCTGGTAAATCTTTTTTTTTTTCTCTTTCCTGCCCACTAGAACAACCCGATAAGCGTACTCATGCAGTAAGGAAAAGGAAAAGTCAACAAAAAGCCCCAGGTGCAGTAAAACCGACGCAGGCAGCAAAAGACTTTTCATAAAAAAAAACCCGTTAAGTTCCCCTAATATCACGAGCCCAATATCATACAGGCATATTTCATAGCTCCTCCTTGACCTTCTCACCCGACCCTGCCGGCATTGGCGCAACGGGCTTCCGCATGAACATGACAGAGGTAATCAAGCTTCCGATGACGGGTGCGACGACCCTAAGTACTTGAGCAACGGCAAACGTCCACACCTGAATCGAGACACTCCCGATAGGAGCCTTAGGGAAGGACAATCCCCACTCAACATATCCAGGCACCCAGCCCTCAGGAATCCAGAAAATAGGCTCACGACGGTACCACAACGAGACAGCCCAACCAGCGCCAGAAGTCGAAGCCCAGCGGACAAACCCAGCTTGCGTATCGAACTTTGTGCGAGCAGCGTTGACCGAGCCAGCTATTACCCATATCATAAGTATCAGCGCTGGTCAGTAGCAGTCCCCCACAAGGGCAGCACTTACTCAGCTTCTCCAGGTCTGCAATCTTCCTATCCAAGGTCCTTCGGATCTTCGCCCACTTAGCAAATTCGTCCTGGGAGCTGGTGCCCCGGAGCTCCGCGCGGAGCCTAACAACCTCTTTCTGCAACGCCTTCTGATTCCGAACATCTTGCGAGGTATTCGTAGGGAGACTTGTAAATATCACCCATAGCTGAAGCAACCCTCACATTAGCAGCCAATTATCACGGTACCAATAGTTAATCCAAGCGTGGGGGGGCAAACTGTATTCTTAATAGCCGTAGCACCTAGAGTATTCACGAGATGGGTCGTAATCGCCAAGGCGATGATGAGCATGAGCAGAGAGATCATCGGAAACGAGCTACCATAGAAGGGACCGTGAGAAATATACAAGATGAGGAAAGGAGTGGAGGAAAAGGGGGTATTCGTTCGGGCAAAGAGATTTTTGTTGGTGAGGGCTCTGGTGGAACTGGCCAGTGAGATGAAATGAACAGTTTACAGTAAGGGGACATGGAACCCTAGCCCTTGTGCCACGAGGTTGATTTTTGGCCAAGTGCTGTCAATCTGCACTTAAATTTAACCAAGTTCGGCACTAGTGGTCAACGAAATATCACTCGAATCGAGAGAGAGAGAGAGAAGGAGAAAAAACCGCGCAGATAGGCTATTTATTTAATAACCCCCAAAACACAGGCTCCCATATGGCAATTTTCCTCGGAAGAAAGCTGTATCATAGGGGAAAAAAAAAATCCTTATTTCGTGTACACCGACTCCACCCACACCTTATCACTCGAATTGCGGCTGCACTATCGGTTGCTGATTCACAAGATCGTGGAACACACCCAGCCAGTCGTAAAACCGTGCGGAAAGTTCCAAAGAACCTTCCAGAAGGCTCTCCCTCCCTCTCCAACGTTAACCATCCCGCAAACTACGGAAAACACCGCGTCACGTGTATCATCGAGGACTTCTATCCGGAAAAATAACATGCGACGGTAACCCCCCCCCTCCTCACCTCCCCCTTATGATATACACAGGACCTCTCCAGGTCTCGGCCCCCCCATAACCGTAATTGCAATCCTGATCATTCACGAGTTTTCACTCGAACGCTTGGTGGGTAAGTTTGTGCTGGAAGCACCAAGTTGTTGTATTATGTGATACCCGCACAAGCGCCGAGAGAGAGAGAGACATTAATAAAAGGGCACAAAAACTCGCCGAATAGCTCGGGGCGATCGGTACTTCTCTCCGACTGCGAACACAGCGCGGTAATTCGGAGCAGGGTCCGATTGCTAATTCCCTCGTTCACGTTGATGGGGGAGAGCAAGCCTTGTCTTATACCGCAGGGCACTTACGGTTTCAACCCCCGACTTACAAATCTATCGGAAGGCTCGATACGGTATCGTCAACATCCATAGTACAGGGGATGGCGAGCAGAGCAATCCATAGGTAACGGCCAATATATATCAAGCCTACCGTACTCGAGTATAGTGCAGAGCTCGTCCAATCAACCACTGTCAATAACTAATCATCATATCATAATACAGTAAGTGAGAGTCCAGCTAACACTCACAGGTCAGGACCTAAAAATCAAACCCCACGCAAAAGAAAAGAAAATAGTAAAAAGGTCCAAAAACTCAACCTCGAGGCACCTGCCTTCTTACCCCAACGTAATATCAATCGACAATTACTGATAGACAAAAATGCCCCTCCCTTACCCCCAGCTCCGACCTGGATCCCACTCACACCCACCAATACACGCACGCACACACACACACTCAAACATAGACCCCGCACCTTCTTAACTGGGGGGCGGGGAAAATACAGTACGAGTACGTGCAAAATCCGCATCAGACAATCCAGGAATATGGCGATGGAAGCATGAATAAGTCAGACGGAAGTTTGACTTACTAGTGGCCTAAGATGAGAGCGACAGAGTGGTTGGTTAGGGAGGGAGGGGGTATGATAAGTTATCACGGATAGGCGGTCCGTTCCCACTCGCTCACTCACTCGCTCACCCGCGTGCGGGTATATGTGTGTGTATGCTGTGCCACTGTATATCATACGATATAAGCCGGGATTGGGGCGGAAGGGAAGGGTAAAGGGCTTCTTATCGAATTCCCCTTCGAATCTAGAACCCGATGCCACCAATCCAGTTACAGTGCCCCCGGTGCGAGAGGCGGAGGGTAAGGGTTCGCTAGGCATTCCTGGTTTTTGCTGACAAGTTGCGCTACACATGCCGAGAGGAAGGGGTAGGGCGGTAGGGCGTATGGGTAAACTCCGCTTTGGCCAGCTACCGTACCGCATCAGTCGATCGATCAATCAGAGCATCTGTTGTCCCGCTGCTGATCTCCAATGTTCGGTTCTGCTAATCGGGTATAACGGTGGCATTGGAGGATTTAACTCGGGGGATATGTAAAAAAGTTAGCAAGTGTCGGGCAGCATCTTACTGTGGTGCTAAATATAACGTTGGCGGGTTATCGATATATAAGGGGAAGGAGGGGAGACGTGAACCACTGCTACCCGCTCGTCGAACGCATCCTCGACGATCACTGAGAGAATAACGCACATAATGGGCAAGTGTAAAATGAATCGCCTCAAATCGCCCGGGAAACGCGCAAGTCCCCAAGGAGCGGTCCGTGGCTCGTTACAACTCAATGCCCATCTTCGAAGGAAAGGAAAGGAAGGGAAGAGGGGGAAAGGAAGAATCAACCCCCCCCCTCCTCTCCTCTCTGATTGATAAAGGAGAACTCCACACAACAGCACATGGTTCCTACTGCCATGCAACCAATACTTAAACAAGAAAAACGGCATAGGCACAAAAATCCTTGCTGTCATCGGTGCACAGGACAAAAGTGAAATAAAATTGGAAGAGTCCAGCCCTTTCTAGCTGTGAGATCCAGATTCCTTGCATGAGAATTCCACGAATTCCATCGGAGAGAAAAAGAGAGAGGAGGACGATACCTCTATACTCGAATACGGTACTTCCCTCTCCCCTCATCAACGAATGGGAAACCTCTATCCACCCCCTACCACAGTGTGGTGAGAAAAAAAGCAACGAGGAGCCCACATGGGACAAACGGGCAATCAATCAAATGCGAGAGATCCAGAATCTGGGCAAACCAGCCAACCAATTCACCAGATACAGGGCGGGATTTCTGAACATAATATATTATATCCCGAACCACCTACCCCCCCAACTTACTTAACTTCCTCCAATCATCCCAGATATTAGCAAATCTATGGCTCATTAGGGAATTTTCTCCGCGGATAATGTGATCCATTCGTTCCATTCCACCCCCCTTCTCGCCCCTCTCCCTCCATCCCCTCACCAGACGAGACACCCTTTTAGTCAGGTCAAAGATAACATCAAGTTCCCCAGCAAATCGCGAAAAGATCGCCATCCACCCATCCACTCGCCAATTAAAATATTAAACCGCCACCTCTCCTCACTCACTCTATAAATACTCAAGCCAAACCAATCCAGACCCACACGGGATCCCAAAGGCTTTCCCAAGCGCACAGCCTATTCGTTCGTTCGTCCAAGTATAGGGTACTCGAGTACAGTACTCGACCCTGCTGGCGACATACATGGTAAGCCTCGCCTTTACTTCGTTTTTATTATTGCCCATTTGTGACACACTCTGCCCACCCTTCATCGATCATAGAATTGATTAGGATGAGGGGTGTATCGGGCCAGTGGTATTGTGGAAGTGGCTATTTGGCGGTGGTGTTGGTAGTGAGTCGGTGCGGTACAGTACGGTGCAGTGGCTAGGTGTTGCTTTCGTTCCTTCCTGCAGTACGAGAATTCACAACGCCGCCTGCACCGAAACGGGGTACTCATAGACAGCAGTAAGTACCGTGTTGGTTTTAAGTTACATGCGCGCAGGTGGGCAGACTTGCTGTTATAGCCGGCTATCCATGTAACTAGGCGAGTACCGCAAGTAAGGTAGTCAGGTAGATACTCGAGTACCATATCGTGCATATGCCCTGCGGCAGCCAAAGAAGTGGCCTCCAATGGATAAGCAACTGGAATTTAAGAGCTTCAACTAGAAGGCATAAGTTAGAAACTGACCAGCAGAAGGCTCGTACTGTGCACCTAGGGCTCACCGTGTACTCGTACGGTACAGTACGGCACCGCAGGTTCACATATCTCATACGTGTACCGATATGATACATAAGGGCACCGCGACACTTGTACTGCAGAATTTGGAGGGGTTATGCTGTCTGGGAAGTAGCAAGTCATAGGTTATCTTGGGGGACGGCGACCGGCCGACCAACCGGGTAATTGCGACTCCACCATCACACAAGAAGCCTAGAGCGTAAGAGCGCTCGCTCACTCGCTATTCTGCTGTGGCCACCGTATCGTGGTGGACTGTCGTACGGTACTTCTCCACTGCAGCGCTATCCGTTAACTCTAAACTCAAACTCACCGAAAAATCTACAGGCCGCTATCTATCCTGGCAGCCGGGAACTCGAGGGTCTGTGGTAAGCACGTCGGCGTCCAAATTTGTTGTTTCCGGGCTACATTATCATGTCCAACGGCACTTTTCTAATCTCACCTAGTACAGATTCAAATAGCACGTGTTATAGCGACTTTTATTTAGCCCTTCATGTATAATCACTCCCGGTGTGAAAGCATTGTTCTCAACGTACCTCGAAGCGGAGCCTCACGGCTGAATCAAAAGCTCAGGAATCCTAACACCAGATCCCGCATAGAAATATTAGATGACGCTTACACCTTTCTTACTCAGCTTTCTACGAGCCTGCTGCCTGTTAGGTTGAAAAACACAAATTGTCCAAACTTCTCTCCTGAAAACCTTATACACCGACAGACAATGGACACAAGCTGGCACCGAGTAGGTTGACACCGGGAGAATAAAAGCCCGACACGGTGAAATCGGCCGGAGAAAGCATCTGCCAATCGTAACAGCGAGATAAAGCATATCCCCGTGCCCCATACCTTCACCTTGCTGTACTGGTCAGCATTTCAGGCATATAGCCACAACTCGCTCAAACCCCATGCATCGATTCACGCAGTATTACCCACGATGACAATCTCCTGCTCGACGAAACCCGAGCTATCAGGCATGCCCCCCCCCCACACACACACAAAACTGTTGCGCTGCTTGCCACTATGTCGTAGGTTAATTGTTACAGCGAGAGGGGAATGAATGCCTGTGTTGTCAAAAAAGAGCTCACAACCCAAGTATGGCTGTGCGCCAAGCGTCAAGGCTTGGCTCATAATGGAGCATTCGGTTGGCAGTGGGCACCCCACGAGCTATCACTCGGCGTGCACCACCCATGGAGCGGCAGCTTGGGCAGAATGCTTCCCCAATGGACAGCAGTCTCGACTCTTGGCCCCTGGGCTCGATGCTCGGGGATGCTCTGGTGATAAGAAACCGCTGAACTAGAAGGACAGCTTCGAAGGGGGCGGGAATTGATGACGAGGTGGCAGCCCAAGAAGGGCGATATGTGAAAGGCCAATGTGCGAGAGCTCTTTGGTTAATTTGGTAATAACTAGTAGTTGAGAGAATAGGGGTATTTTCCCGGAGAGAAATGTGCTCCAACTTAACCAC